TTTACATGGAGAGAGGAGTGCTGGATCTAAGGTCTCCTCTCTTCGTTTCCAAATAATACAATTTATTCTTTCACTTCATCTTATTATTCTCATTATTCTGAACATCAATACCCAGCCAAAGTCCTGCACAGACAGAAATGTTGTTCAGGAACCCCAGGCAAACATGATCTGGGCTGCTAATACAACAACTGGTTGATTCTTGGAAGTAGGTTATGTGTTTCCCTCCCCTCAATGCCTGGCCATTTGTAAAAAGCAATACATTATATATGCAACTGTGTGGGCGCTGCTATCCCTACCCATGGCAGCAGCAGTGGGGAGGGTAACCTCAGTCATGGTTTCCATGAAATCTTGGAATCTGTTAGAACTACTTGAAGTAGATTTTAGGGGAATTGGATACAAAGTATTGATGGGTGCCAGTTTCACCCCATTCCCACAGTCCACTGGGGGAGTGATTCTCCATCACTAGCTCCCACTAAGTCTACTCTCGACCCTGGGTTTCAGTCACTGGGGTCTGTTGGCTCCCAGTCTGGGTGTGTGTGTGAGAGAGAGAGATACTGAGTCTTCCACACAACTCTGAGCCATGCCACACCGTTTAATTTACAATGCTGGCTGCTCACCAACAGGGTCAGGTCTGAAGCTCCTCCTGATGCCATCTCTGGCGCTCCTTTTGGTGTTCATGCCTCCAGCAGCGTCTGGTGAGTCAGAGTAAGGATCAGATGCCCCAACCTTTTTGACATCGCAGACTGGTTGGGGGAGGATGGAGTACGTGTGCAGGGAAGGTGCCCCCCCATTCATGTGCGAAGGGGCAGGGTGCAGTCATGCAGGTGGGTGCACACTCGTGTGCATGTGTGAAGAGGCGGGGGTGCTTGCGGGTGCATGTGTGCACTCACGGACATGCATGAAGGGGCAGGGGCACACTCGCATGCATGCACGAAGGCACTGTGCCAGGGGGAGTGCGTGTAGGGGGTGGGACGTCTGTCTCTGCGGCCCGATCTGGCCCAGGCCATGGGCCGGTACCGGGCCGTGGACCAGGGATTGGGGACCCCTGCCCTAGTGGATATTTGGTTCTTCATGGAGCTGGTGATGATGGAGGTGATGCTGGTGAGCTGAAGGTAAGAGCTCCCCCTTTTTGTCCTCTTCCTTTGGCCAGTGGAACCTCTACCCTGATCCCAGTCTAGGGGTTCTGGATATATGTGTACTCAACATTCCTGGTGACACACAAAACAGGATCTAGCTCTTCCTTGCCTCTCCCCAATCCTCACCATCTGAGTCCATCGAGTCCTCCATGTAGGAGTCTGAGCCTGTTTCCCACTCTTCCTCCTTTGCCTCATCTCCAATCCCCCAGTTTCAGTCTCCACTTCTTGCCTAGGTAGCCTGCAACATCTCTCCCCTCCCTTTTCACACCTCTGCACCCTTCCAGGGCCCAGGAGCTGTAGTTTCTGCTGGGGCAGAGGGCAAGGGCAAACAGCCTGTTAAGAGCATCTGTAGCAAACCCCTCACAATGCTCCACAAGTATTCTGAGATTCTGCTTTTTGGTACAAGTGACCCATATTTTACAAACTCTGCATATCAACACAGATTCACTTCCTCTTCTTACCCCCTTTGCAATGTATCCATGACCAGTGTGATAATCGCAGCCTTGCAGCTTGATACCAGGTCATTATCCTTCAGTACACTCTTATATTACTTTTTATTACAATATTATAAGTTATATCTAATAAGACCAGTCTGTTTTTATACCTTATTTCCCTGAAAAGTTTCATTTGAGAAGTGTATCTGAAAAATTTAAACCTGACTGAATGTATAGACGTGTGCTGAATACATGGAAAGAAATGAAATAGTTAATAGCAAAGTTAAAACTTAGAGCTGTGGAAAACAAAAATAACTCTGTTACCTCTAAAAGCCTTTCCTAATGCACTTAAAAATACATATGTTTTGCTTTAGTAATGAGTTTTAGTCTAGAAGATATACTGGTTGAAATCCTGTTGCACAACTACACTGGCTGTAAATTGTGATGATGTCATCACCTGCGCGCATTATGCTTTATTTTAATTTAAAACTTCCTATATGTAGCCCTCTTCAGGTTCCAAGTCTCTCTAAGGACTTTTTTTTGCCTGGGAAAGCCTTTGGGAGGAAGCTTTTAATAGTCAAAAAACACTACTGCATTGCATGAAGTGGACCCCAATCCAGTGGTTGAGTCCCTGCTAGGAGTTTTCTAATATTAAGGGCTGCCTCCCTGATCTTGATGTTTCCAAAACCTTCCTCAGGGCAAAAAGGAAGCCTCGGAACCTGAAATGGGGGAAGGGAATAGGAAGCTTTAAATTAAAATAAAAATTAACCTCACCAGGTGATGACATTATCACCATTTTTGTGGTGTAGTTGAGCCAACTGGATTTCATCCTGAGTCTACCTGATTTAGCCAACTTGACATGTCGCAAAATTGTCATATTTGCAAGTGTAAAATGGTAAAAATATTTGAATTTTTAAAAAGTATATAGTCCTGATAGCCATTATGTTGTGTTTAAAAAGTACAGTATATAGTCCTGATAGCCATTATGTTGTAAAATTCACAGTTTAAAAAAAAAATGAAAGGATTTTACTATATGGTCCACTAGATGGCAATACAGAATTACAAGTGACAAACACTTCTGCTTTATTGACCTATTAAGTGAATCACCAGATTCAGATATTGACCAAATCACGTGGTCAGCAGGATGCTATCTGTGCAAGTAACTTCAAAATCCATCTGCCCATGTACCAATTTGCCATCTCAGTAGAGCTGTTTACATGAGAGGAATATTATGACTACAAGCCAGCAAATACAGTTGACTGCTGTCAGTGGAAGTTGGGAGGTATGACGAGAATATGCATAATTGTATAGAAAAATTAGACAAGCACTTTGCCATGTAAACAAATTAGTATATAAATAAACTAGATTTGCCAACTGGGAGAAGTAAAAGCAAATAAGATAAAAATTATAAAAGATGGGGAGACAAATGCTCTGCTGGAAGTAAGAACACAATTTTTTATGACTCTGAATGATATGATAATAACACCTGCTTATTGCTCTAGAAACTAAGAAACTCAAATAGGTATGGCTTCAATGATTCTTAGCAAAGATGCACATGAACAGTGGATCGGCGGTTTGGCCCAGTTGCCTGCACAGGTGTTCCACAGGTGCTGTATAGTTCATTCTCCCACCTTCTCCAGAAGATCACCCACTCACTGGCAGCAATACACTTTCCTCCTCTGCCTGTAGTGGGGGATCACCCACTCAGAGGCAGCACCATGCACTTCCCTCTTGTGTCTCCCCCAGTGGCCACCCACTCAGATGAGGAGGAGGGGCAGGGAAACATGCAGTGCCTGTGGAACACCTGTGCAGATGCTGAATCAGGGCCATTTCTACTATTAAAGCTTTGCAACTTCATTGTTTGGTATTTCATACTGTACTTCATTTCTGAATAATAACTGGATAGAAGTGCTATTACATATATACTTTTTTGTTCAATATATGGTTGTTCAATGAAAATGGGAAAATGCATAACTCTTAGAACTGCTGGATAGCTCAGTGGATTAGGTAGCAGAGCCAGAGGATGAGAGTTCAATTCCCCACTGTGGTTCCCTGATAGGGGCAGGACCTGATGATCCATACGGTCTCTTTCAGCTCTGCAGTTCCAAGATGATGATTATGATTAAAAGGTGAAACGCAACTCAGTATCACCCTGAATAGAGACATGTCAGTTATGATGAGCACGGACTTCTATTACCTGGAATTTTATAAAAATTTTATAGACCTTTTAGTCTCTAGTTCAAACAACAGAAAAATATATTTTCAATAAGACCGCTTTGCCACACTTCTCCAGACTATGTTAAGAAGACGTTAAGTGCCTCATAGCTTGCCTCTAAGCATCTGGCTGCCTAATAAAATTGCTTACTTGATACCACATATGGCATGATGTTCCCCTAACTGATTCCTCCAATAATGTCTCAGTACTAAATTACAGTAACATGCGCTTTGTTTTGCAAATGGACACACTGAGTCAATGCTAGTGAAAATATTGGCTTCCATTTTGGAAGTAGTTCAACAGAAAAGTTAGGCAATTAGAGCAGGAGGATGGCTGATGCTTGTGGTTTTCTATTTGTAACACTCTTCCTGTCCCCCTCCCCACCAATATCAATAGTCAAACTAGTAAATACGATGTAAAGATCACACATGCTTAGATGTACTGTCTGGAGCATTCCAACACTAAGGTTTATGTGTTTTTGTGCAGAGGGTGCCATTGGGTAGAATTGTGCTGTATCTGGGAGGCAGTGGAAGATAGGAGGGCCAGGCATACTCTGGTCCATGAGGTCACGAAGAGTCGGACACGACTTAACGACTAAACAACAACAACAAAGTGCTGTATCTGTATTTTCAGAAATCAATGCTCCAAATGAGAGAATCAATAAGTGCTTTAGCATTCTCCTATTTATGAGTTTCTTTTTAATTGAAATATAACCTCCTGATTGCATGACAAACAATGGCATCCTTTTCCTAGGAATACACAAAAAGCAATAGTAATGAAAAAAAAATTGAAAGACACAGAACTGACAAATATTGTACAATATAGGCCAATTACAAAAGAAGAAAACCGAACAGAATACTGTACAAAGAATACTTAAAAACTTCAAGACAGTTCAAACAAACACCTGTGAGATGGCTAATCTTCTTGCTTTTGTCACCTCAGTCTGCAAGCAAGAACTCCCACTACCCACATGTATAGAGAGTGCAATAGAATGAGCAAATGAAACAACAGAATTAAAAAACAGAAATCAAAAATGATCAACAGAAAAAATTAACATTATTTCTGTAAGGAGAGTTCTTTTGTGCTGCTATGGGATCCACTAGAGATTTGTTCCTTTTACAAAGTGAACATACCCTAAAACTATCTGCTGAGCAAAAGGGGAAAAAAAGAAAAAGAAAAAAGTTTCAGAGAGATACAAGCAGCAACACAACTTACAGTCTGAAGAAACCAATGTCCATGTCTTCTTCTGGGATACATCTCTCAATATGAAGAGAAACCAGTTCTCATATTTTAGACTCTGAGCAAGAAAAAAATATGCATCAGGTAATCTCCATTTTTCCAGGTTATGTTTAGTTTCATAACCACCTCTTTGCACATCGGCTAGACAGCTAAGAATTCACTCTTAGCCCTGCTTTTAGTAACTCCTTATTTGTCTTGTCCCTGATCATATTCAGCCATAGCTAAACTTCTTCAGATCTTTCCTACCACAGGCAAGCAAACCAATACAAACACAAAGCACATCATACAGTGGAAGGGCATGATGTCAAGGAAAGCTGATCTAGAGTGTTTCTGGATCAATTAGGGAACATTTTCTTTTACAAACGAAAGTTGCCCCCATATATAAAGAAGAACATTCAAACACAGCAAAAACTGAAAACAAACAAAACACAGTATTCTTTCAACAGGAATTAATTCAGAAGCTGCCCTTAATAATCAACATTGTACCCATAATTATTACAATGCAACCCCGTAAGCACTTGGTTGAAAGAAAACCCAGTTGAACAAATTAAGGTTTACTTCTGAGTGCACATAAATAGCATTGCACTGTCAGTCTTGTTCCTTGTGGCAAGCTCTTTGTCCTAGAAAGCTGAAATGAGAAGATTGCCCTTGAATTGTAGGCATTTCCAGACAAAATTTGCATCAAAGTCCTTGCAGGCCACATTCTTCACAGTGGGCCAAAATAATCCCAGCAGACAGGAGACTGTATTAGAAGTGGAACTGAGTTAAACAATAAAGGATGTGTGACTGCAGATGCATGCCTAACATCTTTCACATCTTTGCAAACTAACTTTCTTTCCTTTGGCAAACAAATAAAGGAGGCACAGGAAGAAACAATGAGCATTTGATTGGTCCTCAGAAGGAAACAGAAGATTCTATTTGTATATCATTTCTCCAAATACATCAGACAGGTCTTCAGAGGGATCATGCGTCTCTGGTGTATAAATGTCTGACTGCTTCCTAACTGTGAAGCTGCCTATTTCATGGGTGTTGGAGGGAGGGAAAGATTGGTCTCCACCTCACAATTGGCTGCATCACTGCTTTTTAAAAATGTGATTCTATGAATGTTTAAGAATTCAGAACTCATATTTTGAAAACTTCTCCTTCAGCAAATATAAACAGGTACAATTTATTTAGTTAGAAACTTTTCATCCATTTTTTCATTCATTTTGATACTCAGGGTAGTGCTGCAGAGCCTCCCAGGTGATTCCATTTAGGCAACTATCAGTCTCAGACCTGCTTAGCTTCAGCAAGGTGGCTTCATGACTATTCCAAATATTCTCTTAGAAACATTAAGTTTTTTCCTGTACCTTTATTAAATTCAGTACTTCAGTCTGAAATTCCAGTTAAAAATACTACTAGGTACAGTAGGTCTCCATAATATAGCAAATACAGTATACAGAAGACAACTGACTTACCTACTGTAGTGCAGAAAAAAATCAACATAGATTGTTTCTGAAATAAGAGTCCAAATGTATTCCTAAATAAATTATATAATCTATTCCTGACGCACCTTAGTAGTTTTTATTATTTATGCTCTTGGCTCTGTTGCATATCAACATTTTCTTAAAACTTTGTATTAAAGGATTTGTTTTATCCCAGTATTGATCAGACAACTGGCTGTACAATTTGATGATGTGCTTTTTATTCCTCACCGGGAGAAAAACAGCTCACTCTTTTACTGTCTTTCTAAAATTAAGCTTTGAGGAAAGTATTTTATTTAAGAAAAAAAACAAAACAGATGTATACCAGAATATCCAGAAAGAAATTGCCTGGCTCTAAACTCAGAATTCTGACACATAAGGGAAAAAAAAAATTAACAGATGTTCCGCAATGCCAGTACACAGTATCTATTAGCAAAATAATGGCATTAAACCAACGGGAGGTAAGGACGAAAAGCTCAATAACGTCAAAAAAAGTGGTCAAAAGTCTTTGCTTCTTTGGGAGAACTAACCTTCTAAGATTGATGGCATTCAAAGAGATCCCTAACGAGCACCAAGGAAGGAGAGCCTCGCGAAGTTCCTAATTTGAGGAACAGAAGCCACCCCAAACCTCACACTGTTGTTGGTGGTAGGAGGGGAACGATGCTATTACGGGCAAAGGGCTCCGCGAGTCCATTCACGTCAATCCATGTGCTCTTATAATATACCTCCGCAGGAGGGGGGAAGGAACACGGCGAGAGACACTCTGAAGGTCTGACTCTTCACGGCAGAGCCGCCAGTCAGCCAACCTTGACCCCCGTCCCACACAAACCCCGGGGCGGAAAATAACACGAAGTGCAGCACCTCTCTAGCAATGAGTTTCGTTAAAGAGGTGTGCCCTTATTAAGAACAGCGGCAGCATCAATAAGAATAAGAATAATGGGTCAGCCTTGCTTCCTAGGAGGCTGTCGACTCGGACATGAATTACTTGTGAAGGTCCTCCAAGGGGGTCTTACCTCAGTCCCGCTGGCACCGCGCCTGCCACTTCCAAACGGAGAAACCTGGTACAAAGCACGCCCTGGCTCCAGAAATGCGCGCGGAGGGAGGGAAGGAGGGCCGGCTGGGCTCTGGGCGGAGTTCGGAGGTCGGGCAAGTAAGCCGGAGCTCACTGAGGCGCGCTGGTGGTGTTGCTGGAAGGTCTGACCACTTTGCCATAAGCTTTGTCTTGGCTGTTAGGCTAAAGCCGAAGGGGTTTTTTTCCCTCCCGAAACTTTCCTCTTTTCTGCCCTTTCTTAAAAAAAAGACACGTTCTGATTTTAACACTTCTAACGGTCCAGTGCAGGAGGCAAGAAAAAAACAGAATAAAAATTAAATCCGGATTTTACGGCCCTTGACCTACCAGTGGTATTTCATGGTATCTTAATGTGCACGCTGCCTTAAAATACCGGCGATGGTTGAAGAAAATGATCCGGCTTGCAAGGGAGGCTGCGGTTGTTCTCCAAAACTTGGCGCGCTCACTCGCCCCTTCGGTTGGTCCACCACAACGCTGGGAAGATCTCGCGCGCTCTTGCTGCCGGCTACCCGGAGCTATTAATGGCGCTTCTCCAAGGAAAGCGATAAGTTACTTCTGTAAAAAAAAAATTTTTTTGGATGGGGTGGATTTGAGCGGGGCCTGTCCTGGTGTAGGTAGGTTGTCTGAATAGTGCGGCTTAAGAGCACACGAAAAATCAAAAGGACTCGGAAGGGCAGAGATGAAAGAATTAGAAAAAAAGTCAAGTGTAAGAATGTCAGTATAGAAATAGATAAAAGATGGAGCTGTGTGCGCTCCCATAAACTTTGTGCCACCCTAAATCTTTTACTTTTCCTATCCTGGAGAATGAGGTGGCATTGAATGGCACCTGTCTCTATCTGTCACTTGGGGGGGTTAGGAGGTTTTGGACGTGTGCTCAGATTAAAAGTAAGTACAACTAATGCCTGGGATTCAAACCCAGGCCTTCTGAGTCCTAGTCTGTCACTCTACTGATTACACCACATTAGGTTTCGACAGAAATCATCATGTTCCTTCAAGTCAATTCTGACTTATGGTAACCCTTTTCAGGGTTTTCTAAGTAGAGAATACTCAGAGGTGGCTTACCATCCCCTGCTTCTGGGGGCACCCTGGGATTGTGCAGCTCACCCAAGGCCAAACAGGCTGGCTCTACTCACAAGAGGCACAGTGGGGAATTGAACTCCCAACCTCTGGCTCTGCAGCCAAATACTGTACCTCAATCACTGAGATATCTGGCTGCAGAGCCACAGTTTGGGAGTCTGATTTCCCATTGTACCTCCCACAAGTAGAGCCAGCCTGTGTTGCACTAGGCAACCTGCACAGTCCCAGGGTACCCAGAAGAAGGGAATGGTAAACTGCTTCTGAATATTTTCTATCTAGAAAACCCTGAAAACAGTCACATTAAGTCAGATTTGACCTGACAGCACATCAGCATCATGTTTGGTTGTTCAAACAACCTTATGTCAAACCAGTTTGTTTTAACTAACACTCCTCTAGAGATGGGAAACCTGGAGAGGATGAGGAGAAACTATGAGATCCAGTAAGTTCTACACTCCATTCTGGTGTCTACTGTCTTGTAGTGCTTGTTTAAATCTTAAAGGAACTATATTTAACCTAGTTCCTCTTTTCCATGCCCCTTGTCTCCAAATTCACCACTTCCTCTTCTTGTTATGCAGGCTGTGTTCCTTAAGTCTTTCCCTTTCAAGCCCAAAACATCAAACTAAGCTAAAGATCTGCATCCCGTCATGTTGTATAGAAAGCTCTCTGTTTCTCACTATAAGACCTAAACATTTACTCACTGAATTATTGGGAAATGAACTACTGCTTTAGTTGATACATTAGGAGCAATTCATATGTTAATTGTACATGTAGCGTATGGTTGCCACTTCCTGTAGCTGAAGTCCATGCCATGCCCCAAGCTTTTGATTCTCATGGCATAGATGAATTATATCAGTGGTCCCCAACCTTTTCTAAACTGCAGACTGGTGGAGCGGGCTAGGTCCATGCACGGGGGGATGGGGCGCGCTCATGAGTGGGCAGGGCACATTTGCACGCATGCACGGATGGGGAGGGGTGCTCGCGGGTGGCGGAGCACCTGTGTGTGCGGGTGAGCGGGCCATGCGTGCAGATGAGGTGCATGGGGGGAGTGCGTGCGGGGGGGGAGATCCGCAGCCCAGTCCTGCCATGGCCACGGACCAGTACGGGACTGCAGACCAGGGGTTGGGGACCACTGAATTATATAAGAAGTTCTATAACTTGGAAAAGTTGATTTTTGGGGAACCATAGCTCCAAGAATACTATGGGCATGTTAGCTGGGGGATTAAGGGAGTTATTGGGTTCTTTTTAAGAAGAAAGGTGGGATAAAAATTTTGTAAATAAATAAGTAAATAAATAAGTAACATTTCTAAGCTGTGGGAAATTCCTCATAGTGCAGTGGTTTAACTGCAGTCAAGGTTCTGCTCATGACCTGAGTCAGATCCCAACTCAGTTGCTGGTTCAAGGTTGATTCAGCCTTCCACAGTTGGTAAATTGAGTACCCGGCTCCCTGGGGGGACAGGAGGAGGAATGTGTAGGCAGCATAATTACTGTAAATTGTAAATTACCCAGAGAATGCTTTAAGCACTATTGGGCAGTATATACGGTATGCCACACTCTTTGCTTTACATGAACATTACACCTCAGAGGTCCTGATGTTCCATCTCACAAGCGCCAGTGATTCATAACAGGGGTCTCAAACATGCGGCCCGGGAGCCATTTGCGGCCTGCCAGATGATAGTTTGTGGCCCCCGCCTTGCCTGCCCCCCCGAAGCACCCACACAGCCTCTGCTGTCAAGAGTAAAAAAAAACACTAACCTCACTCGCTTCTTGCACCCTCTATCCAGAACTGCAGCCTACCAGCCAGCCTGCCTGTCTGCCAGTTGGCAGGCTGCAGTTCCGGATGGAGGGTGCAATAGGCGCTATCTTGGAGGAGAGCCGGCGAGTGAGGCGTGCTGCCGGCCCTTTTCCTCGAGCCACTGCCGAGCGATGCCTGAGAGTGGAGCTCGCTCCTGCCGTCCTCGAAGAGCGCCTCCAAGCCGCCAACAGCAGCTGCCGCCGTCACCGCCTCTTCCAGGGAAACGGCTCTCTGTCTCTCTTTCTCTCTCGGCACCCCCAGCACCAGCCCGGCCAGCGGCCGCCTCAGCGCCTGGCAGTGCTTCCTCCTCCTCTTCATCCTGCTTCAGCCGCCTTGGCTCTGGAGGCTGCCTGGGCTCTCCTTGCAAAGTTTGCTCCTCTGTCATGGTGGGGGTAGCTGCTGCTGCTGAGTGTGCCTTTTTTGAGGGGAGCCCTCAGAGGAAGGTTGCTGGACCTCAGTGTGTGTTTGTGTGCGTGCGCACCCATGTACCTGTGGGGAGGCCCGCCCCATTCTGTTTAATTTTGTGGGTACCGGTGGGGACTTTTCTCCTTTGGCAAGGCAAATTCTGTCAGGTTTTTTTTATTTTATGTCGTGCCCTCCTCCCCCTGGCTAGGCGGTCGCCGGCGCTCCCTTCCTTCTCCACTTCTTCATCCTGTTGGTGGTGGTGGCAGTGAACAAGGAGCTGGAGGGGGCCGTGGCCAGCGACGAGGGCTCGTGCACCCCTCCTTCTCCTCGAAGCCCCAGCTGGGCTAAGGAAACTCCTGGATGTCAGTTTTTTTTTATTTTATGTCGTGCCCTCCTCCCCCTGGCTAGGCGGTCGCCGGCGCTCCCTTCCTTCTCCACTTCTTCATCCTGTTGGTGGTGGTGGCAGTGAACAAGGAGCTGGAGGGGGCCGTGGCCAGCGACGAGGGCTCGTGCACCCCTCCTTCTCCTCGAAGCCCCAGCTGGGCTAAGGAAACTCCTGGGCGGCTTCCTTGGGCTCTTGCTTCGCTTGGTGGAAAATCTGATGCAGCCGAGCCTCACCCAGACTCTGCCTCCAGCGGCCCCCAGGTAAATTGAGTTTGAGACCCCTGATTTATAACTATCCAGTCTTTTCCCAACATTTTTTCATTGGAACAACAGTATGATAAATTTTGATTGGTAATGCTGGAAGCAGATTGTATAGAATTTACAGAGACTAGGACCCTTTCCAAAGCTTACAGTTTTCCTGCTAAACAAGCGTAACTGTTAGTACCACTTCTGAAAGTTCAAATTACAATACAAATGGCTGGCCAGAATAATTTTTTTCCAGGGTTTGCAATTGCTGCATTTCAGTTTATGCAGAGTAGACTTGGTAACTGATATCTTAAATTTCAGGAATAGCTTTCAAGGAACAAATCTCTTCTATCTATATTTATACTCTATTTCCATAAGTAAACAAGTTTCACCACACTTCCGGGTTGCTGTGGTGGCTAACTTCTTTATTCAGAATTTACATCCTTTGAATAATTATCTTATTTCCAGAACATTGTGACTCTGTGCTATATTTTCCACGGGCTAGTCTCATACATTTTCTTGCAACCACAACACCTTTGTCTTCTTTGTTGTTGTTTTTAAATTAGCAGGTTGCTTTACTTATATCTGTGAAGATTCTTAGTCACCCAGGTGAGGTTATCTGGAAGTTGAGTCATGGCAACTGGATTTCTTATTAGGTTGAAATGTTTCGCTACTCATCCAAGTATCTTCTTCAGTCAGAGGGGAGTTGGTAGGAGATTCCTAATATATCCTTCAGGTTGGTTTCACTTTCCCCTGGTCTGAATAGGCTCCTTAGATGGTTAAAAGACTGGGAGTGAGTGAAAATCCCACTTCTGCAATCCTTCTCCACCCATTGCCATAGGTTGTTAGTCATTAACAGTGGTCTTTCTGGTGGGTGTGGTCCTGATATTTCTGGGGAGGGATGAAAGGACAGCATGATAAATAGGAGTGTCCTTTGTCCTTCAAATGAAGGAACACTGCTGACTGTGGTCCTGAGCTGTTGCCCCTTCTGTTTAGTGGCTGTTTGGTTTCTCCAACATAGAGCTCTAAACACTTCTCTTTGCATTCTCGAAGGTTTTGATAGCTGGGATCTGATGGTTGTTGTAGGTTTTTCAGGCTGTCTGGCCGTGTTCTGGAGGTTTTCTTCCTAATGTTTCGCCAGTCTCTGTGGCTGGCACCTTCAGAGGACAGGAATTTGAATTCTGTCTGTGTTCTGGTGTAGTGTGTGGGATAGTTGAGTATTTGTAGCTCTGGGATCAGCTTTTTGTCCTTTTAAGGAGATTGGGTGATTATGGTGATCAGGGTGGTTTTGGTTACTGGTGTATTGTTGTGATAAGGGGGGAGATGATCTGTCACTAGGATTGTTGGGCATCATTAGCTAGTCTTTTGTGTGCAGTGATCACCAGTCCTTGTGGCTGGGTAGATTTTGATGACCTTTTTGCGGACCTTTTGTATTTTTCAGTGCTGGCTTTGTTGAGTTTTAGACTTTCTTATTTTTTGTTGAAGCTTTGCTGGTGTTTGTGGATTTCAGTGGCTTCCCTGTGTAGTCTAACATAATGATTACTGGTGTTGTCCAGTTGTGAAGGAGGCACTGGTGTTAGTGAGCAGTCCCTGATAAATAAAGCTAATACAGATGTTAAAAATGCAAGGAAGGTGAAGAAGAACTACAGAAAGCAGGGTAGACCGTTGTGTCAAAGGTGGGAGAAATTGAATCAAAAGAAAAGGGGGGAAAGACAGAAGTTTTTTTTAGTAGAAGAGGGTAAGACAGGAAGGGAGCAAGAGTTGACAGTCTGGGAGGAGGATATAAATGAGGAGGGAGTCCGATGGTTCGGTTCAGTGATAGAGGAGTATGAGAGAAAAAGGGCAGAGGCTCGCAAGAAAGCTTTTGAAAATATACGCCAGCAGGGACTTCTGAGGGATTTTCACAACTTGAGAGTCGGAGGACTCTTACCAGAACCGGGTGCGTGAGAGAAGCCGATCCAGTATATCACCAAGGAGTGGACAGTGATCATGGCGCCAAGAGAACTAGAACTACAATGGGCGAATGAGATTACGCATAAGAGGTTCTACAATTGCCCAGACAAGAGAAGCTGGATCCGCCATGCGTGTTGTGGGACTATTTGCGCCCTACGGAGCACTCCTCCCTGGACACCCAACTGCCAAGAATGGCTTGGAAACCTCCCCAATGAGTCCTTGGGGCTATGAAAAGACATTCGGTTCTGTAAGTTGTGGCCTGTTGCCCGAGTTGAAATTATTTGACCCAATAAGTAATGTGCTGGAGGAAGAGGGAGGTAATAAATGTGACAGTTCTAAAATTATAAAGACGACTCCCTTGTTATTTCCCGTGGAAACAGAGGAGCTGCCTACAGAAAATATAGAACCCAATCACACCAGTACTTCTGTGTTTTGAAATAGGATTTAATGTCCAGCTTGTTTCAGGGCATGTTCAGCTACTGTTGATTTTTCCGGTTGTTTTAGTCTGCAGTGTCTTTCATGTTCTTTGATTCTGATGTGGATGCTTCATTTTGTGGTCCGAATATATACCTGGCCACAACTGCAAGGTATCTGGTATACTCCTGCAGTGGTGAGGGGGTCCCTTTTGTCCTATGCTGACCATAACATTTGTTGTATTTTTGTGGTGGGCCTGACTGCTGTTTATAGGTTGTGTTTTTTCAAAAGTTTCCCCATGCGACCCATGACCCCTTTGATGTATGACAGAAATTATTTGTGGACGGCTGTTTTCCTTCTTCAGTTCAGTGTTGTTTTCTTGATTTGCTGGCTCTTGTGATTTCATTCTTGGAATGGCCATTTGCCTGTAGGGCCCAGTTCAGATGGTTGAGGTTGGTGGTGAGAAATTGAGCTTCATGGATCCGATTCACACTACCAGTATTTTGATTATGCCTCTTTTTTCTTGTGCGTGGTGGTTGGAGTTTTTGTGTAGGTACTGGTCTGTGTGGGTGGGTTTTCTGTAGACTCCTTCCTTGTGTATCTTCATGGACTTCCCAAGATACATGTACCACATCCCACACACTACATAGCTGCAAACAATCTGAAAGCCTCCTAATGTTCAGGTGCAGCTGTTGGGAGGAATGTTTGTCACTAATGAAGCAGAAATTAGCAACACCCTACTATTGGAAACAGAAGTGAACAAGTTTTAGGATGGTTTTGGGGACTTTTACACTGACTCCCTGAATCCACCAGGACCTGCAAGCCACCCTTCATTGTTGAATTTGGAGCAATACTGCCGAATTTCAGAAGAGAAATAAAATCTGCTTTAAAACAAGGCATAAATGAAGAGCACACCTTGTTTTAAATGGTCCTTTTGGGCCATGGGGTTGCCATTGCCCTGGTCAAATTCAGCAGATTTAAGGGCATAGGAATAAAATCACTGCTGTCCCCTATGAGCTCCAATATACAAAAATGCTCTCCATCTTGACTAGCTGGGTAGATCTTTTGCTGTTACATGCAACAGAAGCGGGAGGAAAGGCTTCATGCCTCTTCTTTCTTTCTTTGAATGTTTTGGAGCCTAAGCTTACAAGAGACACCTTTTCTGGTTCCACTGCAGGAAACTAAAACTAGTTCCTTTCATCAAAGACACCAGGAGGCATGTGTTACAAGTCCATTTTAATTTAACCATCTTGGTCCATTTCTGTGACCACACTATAAAGCTTTTGCTTCACAAGGCTTTCCTCTCCCTGTAATACAGTACTTTTGTTCAACACCCCACCCCTTTTTGGCTGCTTTAGTTAAAGTAAATGTGGGTTTGCATAAACAGGATGTAGTTTGGTGAGGTTTTACTAAACATACCAACAGAAAGACCTATGTAGGAGTTGATATCTCCTTTATGTTAGATAAGGGAACTGGGATTTCTGACGGATGTAACCGTTAAGGCAGTGGGCCCCAACCTTTTTGACACCAGGGACTGGTGTAGTTGAAGACCATTCTCCCAAGAGAGGGGCACTTGTTATGCAGTAGGTTGTTGGAGGATAGCTTTGAACTGAGCTCATAAAGGAAATGGTGAGCAGGAGGTGAGCTGAAATTGAAGCTCCACCTCCTGTTAGATCAGCAGCAGCTTAGAACCTAATAGGAGTGCAGGTTCCTATTAGATTCTGCTACAGGCACAGCTGATCTAGCAGCAGCAAGAGGGGAGCAGGGAGCTAAGTTCCGCCTCCTCTCAGATCAGCAGTGGCCTCAGAACCTAGTAGGAGTGCGCTGATAGGAGGTGGAGATTTGCTCATTGCTCACCTCCTGCTCGCTGCTTATCTGTCCCAGCCCCCAGGTCCTTCCAAGGCCACAGACCCCTTCACTAAGGAACAACTCACAACTGTACTGTAAGGTTGTCAGACCTTAATCACAAAGCCACATTCCTTTGTTTTTCCACACCCAGATTATAGTTGTCTTGTTTCAAGTCTGTAACTTGTGATTAATTTTCCCCAGTGGGAGAAAACCCTAACATGATAGTTGGTGAGGGTCATTATGTATTACAAGGGTTTACAGCACATGTTCAACAGCTTTTCTTCTCTTTTGCTTTAGCCCTCTTTGTCTTTTCTGTAACCCTTCTTTGCTGCCTGCTTCTTTGTCTGTTTGTTCAACTCAGAATAAAATTTTAGAAAGACCACTCAGCGTATTGCTACTGTTTTCTGGCCCCACTGAGCCCATGGGTTTAGTGGTTGCGCACAACCACAACAGTAAGAGAAAGTGTGCCGACAGGTCATCCACAGGCACTTGTTATGAGTGACAGTGTGGGTTCCTTTAAGACCAGCATCCCAGGCCTAAAAAGAAGATGGAGACTTGCAAGGGGGAGAGGGGATGGTGAGCCTGATACAAATCTGCAAAGAGTTGCAAGAAAGTTTCTATATCAGCAAGAAACTGCATGTGTGGGCAGACATTCTAAATTTGGACTTGTTTGTCCAGACAAGAAAGGGGAAGGAGGCTGGCTGGAAACAGGTCTGTGGTGAAAGCAGCAAACTGTACACATGCAAGCAGCATTCCTGCATGGCAACCACAGACTGTACCTGCCCAGGAAATCAGGGTCTGCCCTCTGCTTGCTTATGCCCACCCAGTTTCAGCCCATAGACACAGCCCAAGAGAAAGATGCTGACAAGATGGATGACCCAGGAGGAGACGGTGATCTTCGAACAGCACTACAACGTTGCTCCCATTGCTCTTACCGTAGGACTGATCAACTATGGGGAAGAGTCTCTCTCTCTCTCTCTCTCTCTTTGTGTGTGTGTGTGTGTGTGTGTGTGATTGAAGTGTGAAGTGTGAAGGAGGCCTCTTGATACCTTTGGCTTATGTTTTAAATGAATGAAAGCAATAAATGTTACATGAATAGTGTCTGAACTACAGATCTGGTGTATGGTCTCGTCAGTAGTTTGGCTGGAGTGTCTCTGCTCTCCTAGTCCCTCTCCCAGAGTATAAAGGACATCAATCCCTCGGGTCACACACACTCCTTCCTCCCCCTCCACCCCTTTTTTTGCACAATCTTTAAACTAATCAAAATCTGTTCGCCTGAGAAGGCCTTTCCGAGTTAGGCATCTTTCCCATGGTACCGCGTTTGGCGCGCTCGGCGTTAGCTAATTGCATAGCATCCAACCGTGGAGGGTATCGTTTCAGGCTGGCTGAAGTGGGAAGCGGGGTGACGTTCCTTTTCCCAAGAAAATAAACCGTCCTTTGGGGAAAAACCAAACAAGCCCAGAAATCCCGATTTACTGGGATGAAAAAGGACACGCTGCTTCTCAGTTATCATCTCCACTTGAAGCTTCTGTCCGTACATGCCGCTCAGTTTCTCTTCCGTTGGGAAGGGGGGGGGCGGGAAGCTCGAACCGGCCTCTGCAGAAACGGCCCGGCCCCACGCTTGAGAGGAAATTAGGTCAAAGCAGTCGGGCCGGAAGTGACGTCCTTTCTCTGCGCCGCAGCGGGGATCTTTTCCCCCTTCTTTTCAGGCGGACCCGCGTGTGTCGTTGAGGGGAGTGCCATGGCGCCCGGAGCGCAAGCGGGAGGCAGCGGCGGGAGTTCCAGCGCGGTGTCGCCTGAAGGGCTCCGGGGCTGGTTCCGTGGGGCCTACCGCTTCGCCACCGACCGCAATGACTTCCGCAGGTAAGATGATTATTGTTAGAAAGGGCAAGGGCAGGGGGCCGAAGGGGCTTGGGTCTTCTCCGAGAGCGACCTGCTCGGGGTGGGGGTGGGGCATTAGGCAGCTTTGCAACGGTATTTGGCTCCGTGCATGTTATTTTTCTTGCTTTTGCCATGTTTGTCCGGGTTGTGTAGCCCTGGAGGCTCACGTGCAAACGAGGCATGTCATGCCGTCTTTTCCTAGAAGCATTTTAAGGTGCCATTTCCACTTTCCTCCCCTCCCCCTTTGATCTTTTTCGCTTCGAGAGCCTTTTGCATGAGTAGTCAGGTTTTTAAAAAGTGTAAAGTATGCCAATAAAACGGAAACGTGTTTTGTTGTCTATAGTAAGCTACTCTCAGGTCTGCCTCACGTCGTCTTTTGCTGATTTTAGCTCTTGATTTGTAATGTTCAGCGGACATCATTCCTTCTGCGTCTCTGCATTAAACCGAGAATTAAACCGAGATTTTAGTGTGAGACCCACAAGAAAAACTGATTGATGAATCTTGCAGTCTTTTAAAAAGAATTTGCCTCGCAGAAGCACTTGTATAATGCAAGAGTACTAATACAATTACTGATTCACTCTGTTTAGCTGAATCAGTTTTGTAATCAGCGTGTACTGTATAAGGTTTTGTATAACATATCAATTCCATATGTAGTTCTGTGTCTGTTCTTTTATATGGCTATGCTTTGGGGTGGCAAGTAAAGCTTTGTTTTTAGCCGGGAAGTAAGATTTTAGATATTCATGAGCCAGATGTCAAATTTTTGGAAAGTAAGGCTATCAGTAACTAGTAGTTATAACAACTGTAATTATCTAACGATTGAAGGGTATATCTCTGAATGCTAGTTGCTAGGGTACATGTGCAGAAGGATGTACAGTACTTGTTTTCATTTCTTGTTTAAGGACTTTCTGTTGGGTTATTTGGTTGTAGAAATGGATTGCTGAACTAGATTAATTTTTGGTCTGATGTAGTGAGCTTTTCTTTATGTTCACAAATCATAATAATGCAAAATATAAAACAAAAATTTAATATTTTTCCTCCATGTGTAGTTTAGGCACAAAGAAGGACAAATGTGAATAGTTGATAAGGCTTTTTCTCAACAGAGAGTGACAATGATCATGTGCTGTCAAGTTGCATCTGACTTATGGCAACCCTTTTATACAGTTTTCATGGTAGAGAGTACTCAGAAGTGGTTTACCATTCCCTTCTTCTGGGGGCGGCCTGGCACTGTGCAGCTTGCCTGTGACTACATAGGCTAGCTGTTCTTCCAGGAGGCAGAGTGGAGAATTGAACTCCTAGCCTATGGCTCTGCAACCAGCTACCTAAACTACTGAGCTACCGAGCCAAATAAACAGGCAGTACATATATGCAGTATTAGAACATACTTGGCAATTAGGAAAATACAGTAGTCTCTTAAACTATGATTATTCTAAGAATATTCTTTGTTCGTATATGGCATTAGCATTTTTAGACAGGAGAATTTTCAACAGGATTGTATAATACCAATTACCACTAACCAGCCATGAATTCTGGTTTGTATTTGTTTCAGGAACCTCATAGTTAACCTGGGTCTGTTTGCACTGGGTGTCTGGGTGGCAAGAAATTTAACTGACATTGATTTGATGGCTCCACAACCTGTTCCATAGCAGAGAAGGTAAGTAGCTAAGGTTGTAGGAATAAAGTGTACTGTGTATAGACTTCAGTTGTGTTTTTTAATTTAGATTAATATTTATGTAATAATTTATTTAATGAATCAATAAATAGGAAAGGGCTTATTCTGTTCAAACGTATTTCCTGAACATGAATGCTCTGAGTTTAATTTTTTTTTACTGAAAAATCTTATGTTAAGATCTTTTTCAGAGAAACACAATTGCCATGATGAATATCACCACTTCATTCTCTTTTTTTCAAATCCAGACCTGGACTATAACTTTATTATCTTCCTACAATGAGTGGGAAGAATGGTTGTCAGAAATGGAAAAGCTATAAAAGCACTATGAAAAAAATTATTCAAATCAGATTCTAATTCCATATTATAGTTACCACTACTGCCCCCGGATAATATGGAATCATATGATCATGAAATAGTAAGTTTCGCACCGTTTCCCAGTTGTTTACTAGGCCGAATGCAAGGTGTTGGTTTTAGCCTTTAAAGCCCTAAACCATAGGTTGGAGAAAAGGGGTAAATTACCCCAAATGGGGTAAAAGTGAAAATCCTGGGGGTAATGAGCAGAGTGCTACCCCCCTCCCACCCGCACCCTCTGCAGCCAAATCTCAAATTGTAAGCCACCTCTCCCTGTTACTTCCTGGTTGCAGCAGACACTTGTAAATCCTCTTGTTAGTTCAGAGATTGGAGATAAGCTCCTTGATTAGTTGCAGCTGTGGATTAGCCCCAGGTAATCAGTCAATCATTCCGGGGCTTCTGAATGACTGCTTCCTCTGGAAATGACTGCAAACAAGCAGCAGGAGGGAAAGAATCAAGGAGCAAGCAAGGGAAGGAGGGAAGAAAGGTGCAAGAGACTGAGGACTTCATCAAGCTTATTTAAATGTATGTAATTGTAGAAAATGGAGGTAAGGTGTGTGTGTGTATGTGTGTGGGAGAGAGAGTGTGAGTGAGAGAGAGACTGACTCAAACTATGAAAAAGAACAGACAAGAAAAAAGAGAAACCTTAAATTAAGGTGGGGGGTGGCTTCTCAAGGTGCTGTCTAGGTTTATCATTGCTTTCCTTCCAAGAAGCAGGCATCTTTGAATTTTGTGGCTAGCAAAAATTTAATGCAACTTGCTAAGCACGTTGGACACATTACTACTCCCTATACCACACCATGGCTGGAGTGCAATGTGTTCCAGCAAAAATAAGTGCACATCTTTATCACATTTGGTGCATCCTGCTAGTTCGGTACACAGCCTGTGTAGATTCAATAATATTTTTAATTCAAATAATGTATGATTTCCTTCCTTTAGAATCAAGGGGGTAATGTTGGTGTATATAAATTTTTTGGGAGGTAAAAGGTAAAAAAGTTCCCTGACTCCTGCCCTAAACAGTTTGGGACCTGATTATCTAAATGACTGCCTGTTTTCTTATGAGTCTGTCCAGACTTCAAGATCTTAAGAAGATACCCTCTTAAAATACCAGTAGTTTCAGAAGCTCAACTATAAAACACATGGGATAAGACCATCTCCTGTGTGGCTCCTAGGCTATGAAATGCACTCTCTTCCAATTTGCAATTTGTTTCCATGCTTATTTTAGCAAGTGATTAAAAACATATTTTTAGAGTGGCACTTGATGTTTAATTTGCCCTACTTTGTTTTTTAATCTGCATCTTTTACTATTTTAATGATTTTTAACGTACTTACTGATTTTTATGTTGAGGCGTGTTTGTATGATTTTATTACGGTTTTAGCTAAATGTTGGTTTTAACTGTTTTTGCTTCTTTTACAAACTTCCTAAGCTGCCTTGAGTGCTGTCCAACATTCCCTCTAATTTTGGCCCATGTGTGCATGTTTCCAGCCCAAACCAGAACTAAATGGGTGGCAACAGGAGTTGCCAGTGTACAGACCTGATGGAGCTCTGTGTGTGTGCACCGCTTAGGTGCTCTCTTTTAGTGGAAAGGCAAGGAATGGTTGGTGGATGTCTTTAAGCACCTGTAACTCGACAGTTATTTTCCACAAGTTCTGACATTTCATACTGTAGGAGCTTTTCATACTTCAGGAGTTTACACATTAATCCAAAAGTTATAAATTTACTGCTAATTAGTTTTTTTTTTTTCAAATTAAGATGTATGCTTGAAAATCATCTGTAGGAAAATTGCTAGGCCATTTCTTCTGCTGTTGCATGTACTAAGCAATGTTTAGACCTTCGTTGGATACTCTGCAAGTTCTGTGATAATTGGACTGACAGTTCCTAAGTAGAGATGGGAGTATTCTTATACGAATATCCCCACACAGTTGAACTTATCGAGGGGCTGGCCCCTGCGGCCGGCCTGTCCACTCATGTGGCCAGCAGCAGCCTGGTTCATTGTTCCAAACACTCCCGGAGCGCCACTCTCTTCCTGCTCACCTGGCCACTCCAGGCAGTGGGAGGGAGGAGGAGTCTCTCTGCATGGCAGTTGAGTTGCTAGCCAAGCAGGAAGAGAGTGTTGCTCCGAGTGCGATTGGAAGGATGAGCAAGGTTGCTGTCACCAGAAGACACGTGAGTGGACGGGCCGGCCACAGGGGCTGGCCCTTTGTTAAATCCAGCAGTGTGGGGATATTTGTAGTCATATACAAATACCCCCATCTCTATTCCTAAGCCATTCTAAAAGCTCGTTATGATGAGCTATATTTCACCAAACCTCAAGTAGGCATGTTACTTTGTTGTGTTTCACTTACAGTACTTTGTCTGAAGGGGAATAAATTAAATATTTTGTATTTGTAACTAGTTTTTAGTAATTGGGTATATCTTGCAACCTTAGGTCAGTATCCATGTATATCAACATAAAGCAAGTGGTGTTGCATCTTTCTTTAAAATGAGTAGATTTAAAACTTTGGCTGCATCAGTCAGATATCTTTATAGCATATTAATTCCTCATCCTTCTAGGAAAATATGAAATATGCATCAATGTTTCCTTTTCATCCATGCAATTCTCATCCAAATCATTTTTAATCATTAGATGCCATTTTAAAATTGAGTATTTGTATGTTTGTTATCATTAGTACATAGACACTTAATATCATTGTATATAGCTCTCAAAAAGTCAGAGGTTTAAAATAACAGCTGTGTTGTCATGCAGTTTATGGAGCCAGATATATTTGTGGGAATGCTGTATATTAGTTCACATGCAGTATAGCAGCAGCTTATCCGTAATGTTTCTAATACTTGATTGCAGGTATCAGTGAAGTAGAATTACATGAGAACTGAACTTCCCTCTTGCTATGTGACAAAATGAGTTGCAGCTGATCTTTGCTTTAGTTATACAGTACATGGAATCTTATCTTCCATACAGCTTCTGTTCCAAGTAATTAGATGCACTGGCAGCTCTAGAAGTTGAATTCAGGTGTAAAGGTTTTAACCTGTACTTTTCATAATGTTCATTTCATTGTGGCCTGGAGGATACATTTTGAATCCAAGTAATAATGTAGCACCTCATGTACTAATTTTTGCAGATGTTCAGAATGTAAAAGAAGTACTGTATGAAGAGTTGAAAAGTGAAATGAAAAATAAAGACATTCCAGTGCATTGGACTTTTTCTTTTTAATAGGAAATTTCAGCTTACAAAAACAAGGTAAAAAGAGTAGATTTACAAAAATCATAAAAACATGATTCATATTTCACACTTAAAGTAGTAACAAGCCTCGGTCCTTTTTTTTGAATAGGACATGTTAACTATTCAAAGGGAAAATACATTTTTAGAAGGCCTAGCTAAGCCTTAATTATAATCAGTTTTTCAGCCAGTGTATTGGTTGTGTGGTGTTGTGCATTATAGTTTTATGTTGTGTGGAAAAGGAACTGTTTGGTGTTGCATAGTATTTTGGTAAGTTGACATTATTTTACAAAATAGGCTAGGATGTTGTGCCATTACCACTGCAATGTCTCTTTTAGGGTTTCCATTGACAATAAAAAGATGATTCTTGAGAGCCATCTCTTCACATGTGGGATTAAAAGGTAGCCAAATCTGAAGGAGAAATAAAATGTAGCTAAAGTCTCAGTTTCCACCAAGGTGGAATTAAAGTATTGTATCTATGGTGATAGTGTTTGTCATGATTTTTCAAAGTCTGTTCTTGGGCAAATGGAATATAGCATATAATTCTGCAGTTTCAACACAACTTTGTTTGTTCATAACTTGACAACTTCCAACCATCTACCAGTTTACAATGCAGCTCTTAGTAACTTGTATTTATAATAATTAAATTCCAATTAAGATGTAGGATATTTAATAGTTTGATTTTCACTTGTATTTATAATAATTAAATTCCAATTAAAATGTAGGATATTAATGTTTGAAAATATTTATGTAAAACAATGGTAGAATGTTGGTTCTTAATGTCATCTATCACTGTTACCCTACAAACCCTGCTTGGAACAGAAGCAGCCTCATCCCCCAGTGTTTATTGAGTCAGCTTAAATAATTAACACCACACAAGCAACAAAAGGTATAACTGCAAACAGCATTACTTTTAAAAAAACAAACAAACTTACAATAGCTAGCAGTTATAAATGTGTATTTAAAAGACTGACCCAAAAGACAAAGCTATAATAGACTTAAACTGTTCTAGAATAATTTACCATTAAGGAAAACCACAGATTATGAGAACGTTTTACAGATTTCTGAATTTTCCTGTTAAGATAACTTTTCACCATGAAATAGTGACAATACTGGGATATGTTTTTAGAGAAGAATTGTTAAACCTCATTTACATACCTTTAGAATATGCTAAAGATAACTACCTCAGTACAGCTTCTGAAAAGCAAGTGGCAGAGACGTTTTCTCTACTTTTTAGACTAGATTAGTACCCTAAATCTTAAATGTTATGAAAATGCTCCCTTTACTTCATTGGAATGCCCTTGTGTATTTTAAGTAAACACAGTGCCCAATATGCATGCTTTTAAAATCTGAACCTCACTTAAAGAAATCTCAGCTGCACTGAATACTTAAGACTAATCTATAATAGTTGCATTTGAAAACCTAAGGGAAGGTTCTTGAACACTAACTTGAAATTCTGTAATTCAATAAAATTTACAGTTCAGGCTGCTTGTGATTTAACATCTCTGCTACCAGTGGTTGTCAAAAATAGTACACTAAGACATAAAAGGCAGCTGTTATGCACAGAAGTGATAAGGACTGCTAGCTCAGAGCTGTGTGTCTGCACAGTATTGATCAGATGGTGTACATTGCCTCTATTACCATCACACATACATACCTGCCATTAAGGCCCCATTATCCAGTTGTGAGTGAATGGTGCATTTGACAAACTGCCATAATTATATTAGTGGCAGGATTCACTGAGATCACAATTTTTAAATTGAAGTCTACATGCTTTAATCCCAAATTACAGAATAGCCAGCAATATTTGATATCAAAATGTCATGATCTGTATTTAATTCTGTTTCATTGGCTTCTCTGGAGTTTTAAGAAGCTGAAGACAATGCTTCTTAATTTAGGATTGCTGGGTTGAGGTGCTGAGAATGAGAAGTTTGCCTTTAGAAGTTCAGCTGTAGTAGCTGGACCAGTCTCGCCCCTTGCTGCAGAAGATTGGAGAGGGATAAAATTAGTAGAAAAGGTTACTTCCGCTTTGTTTTTACATCTTGGTAAGACTGACTTGACTTTTATTTCAGCAGATGATAAAAGAGCAGTATCTTTCCAAAGTTGTCTATTTAAAAGAAAACATTTTTCCTCACAGTGAAAATTTTACAGTGAACATCACAATACTTTAATTTAACTCTACTGATATGCTTGACAAGTTATTTTCTCAGATTCCCACCTAAATTTACTTTGAAGAATACAGTGCAGCCTACACGCTCCAAACATCATTTTATTGCATATCACAGTGCCTTTTGCACTTTAAGTAGGCAGTCACCTTTGGGCCTATTGGGATGTGTTGCCACTTCCTTCAAAATATGCATACCAAAACAATGCAACAGCAACCAAGTCTTGTCCTACTTGGGTGCTATATATAAGGCGAACAGAGATTTCTAGTTATTTGGCTGGATAACAGGTCTGGCATGATGGTGTTGGGTTTTGTTAATCATCTCTGCATATATATATTTAGCCTCAATTAACTGTACATAATTTACATATGCAATTCTACAGTATTATCTGCATGAAGATGGGATTGAACAATAGTTTGTCCTCTTAACTGGAAACAGGGAACCAATACCTGTAGAACAGAGAACTGTTATCCTGCAAAACACCAGTCTAAGTTGAGAGCCTTTTCAAAATAGTTTTGTAAATGGGTTGTTCCAGGCCTTCTTACCTCTCATATCATAGTTAAATATGCTTGCTTAATTCAGAAAAAATTCTAATCTGAAAATTTTTTACTGACAAAATGTTTAAAACAAAGCCCAAAATTATGATCTACCTATAAGCAAGTCATCTGCATTATTTGACAGTTTTTAGACACATACAGTAAAATACATCACATTGTTGGTAGGTACCTTTTCCATTTAGGTAGATATGAAATGTGAAAAAAAGCAAATGCTAATAAATTATTGTAAAGACACAGATTTGGGAAGGACGGAACTTAAATTTTGTGTTCCATGCTAAATGTTTTTAGATACAAGGCACCAATCTTTTATCTTTAAAAAAATTGTTTACAAAGCTTTATTAGTATGCAAAACTAATCCCACCCCCAAACCTTCAGCCCATCTTATAAATTATTTTCAGTTGGCAATACAGTTGGAACATTGCTGTAGTAAATGTTCCTGATAAACCTGTTGACATTCAACGCTCACTTGCCAATTTCCTCTCATCAGACATTCGTGGCACACAAAGCAACTTTACAATCAGGAGGCCTTCTCAATAGCAAAGAGACTTCTTTTCATAGGCCTCCTTGTGTGAGTCCATAGGACACATTTAATACAATTTTATTAAACAGATTAACTTGAGGATGTGTTATGCTTTCCCTGAAGTGAATGAAAATACCTGTAGTTCAAAAGCAGTAAATGATTGTGCATCTGCACAGTTCAGCTTTGCAGTGCAATAGAGAGTGGCCTGCTGGGATATCCAAATTCATTTGCTTGGTTAAATAGAACTAATATTTTCCAAGTGCCTGCAGTAGGACGAAGTAAAAAAAGGTTCCATGATTTGTTTTCCCACAAACTGAAACAAGTTACATAATGCTGGTTGCAACTCTGGATTCAAAATGGACAAATTAACAGATAGGCCTTCATCCCTCTGTGTCTTTGTTTTGACAAATACAGAATTATTATGAAAGACTTCACCTCTGTTTTAGAACAGAAACAGAAACTTGTGAGAGCTAATCATTACACTCAACATGGCACCATTCCTAAAAATGAGCAAGTTCATGGTTTTATCCTGGTTAGAAACATTTAGGCACACTCATCTCATTAAACTGTATTATTTTCCCATTGATGGGAGCAAGGAAATGCAATGTGAAGATCTCACATCATGGGCTAGTATACCTAAATGCAATGGGAGGGAGAAGATTTGAACATCATTTTTATTAAGGGCAATGTATATTTTGGCCCTTAACCAGGGAACGGGCAGTAATGAAAGCATTCTGAAATGTGATAAACAGCAGTCACTATTTCAAAGCGGCATGTGCTTCTAGTCAGTGCTTGCTTACTCCTTTATAGATTTCTGAGAAGGATTACGTGGTTAAAAAAAATTATACTGAAGGCTTATTCTCAAACATGTACTGATTTGTTCCAGTTAGCTTTATTTTTTTATGGCTAATATTACCTAAAGGCCCAGAACTGGCTTTGCTTTGTTTAACTCAAAGACTGTAACCTTCAAAAGGATTTTAACATACCTCTTGGTTTAACATGCAGCCTGTTGCTAACCACATTCACTGAAAAGTAAGTACTGAATCTAGTAGTGAGCTGGCTTCCTATTCAGTATTAGAATGGTTAAACCTCAAGGGAAATGGAACTACTTCCATGGGTTAATGCATGTGGCTGTGCTTTCAGTCATACACTGAAAGCAAGTGAAGGCTCTTGGGTGAAATGAAGTACTGTTCAGTGATTAGAGCTGATCAGTCAGTGTTCAGTCAACATACACAAACAAAGTAGCAGAATGTGGCTAGGAAAATTAATATGGGAAGACGTACAGTATTGTCTAATTTGTTACTCTGTTAGGCTTTCATTATAATGGCAAGGTACAACACTGCCAAGAAACATCAATAATTATTAAATTTTCTGCCAACCAAGACACTTTAAAACAGTGTACACAGCATAGCAGGAGCACTGCTTGCAGTAGACAGATAAAAAAACAGCATACAAATGCTATACACTATCGCTCCCAAATAAAAGCTAATTATTACAGAAACCTCACAGTGTTGGAAACAGCAAGCTCAGCTCAAAGGACAGTTCCTTCCCTATCAAGATAATTTAATTGCACATTTTCCAATTCTCATGGCACTCTATCATTCATATGAGAGGCTACTATCCACATCTGCTTGAAAATGTGAAACATTCATGGCTACGAATATAACACATACCCTTTTTGCTTTCTACAGCATCTAATTTAGGTGGCAGCTATTCCTACTTTAAAATATATGATGCAATACTCAGTCAAAAGATGAGTATTAATGATAGGTATGTCAGCCTTTTAACTCAGTGGTCCCCAACCTTGGGCCCCCAGATGTTCTTGTACTACAGTTACCAGAAGCCTTCACCACCACCTCTGCTGGCCAGGATTTCTGGGAGTTGAAGTCCAGGAACATCTGGAGGCCCAAGGTTGGAGACCACTGTTTTAACTGACCTGTGTAGCTGTGCCGCCCTCCCTGCAAGGTTCACAAGCTTAATGAAGTCTTCGGTATTTCCATAATAAGTCAATAGCATGAGAAGAAGAAACCTTGGCAGAGCTCAGAAATCCAATCATGGAGCATAGCAGCCTGGGCATGGAAGCATTCTTCACAAAAATGTGTCAGCTCCCATACTCTGTGGTCAAGTCTTGTGAATGTGCTTTCTTCTGGCAGTGGTGGCAGCTAAATGGCTGCAGGGCAGAAGTGCCCCACAAGATATGAAGGGGAGGGTGGAAGAAACAAAAGGAGATGAGAGTGTAAAGTAGGCATGGAACTTTTATATTTCCCAGACTTCAGCTGCAAGAATTCAGGAATTCCCCCAGTCTGAATTCTCGCCAAGAAATGAATCTTCACAAGAGTTTTCAATGAAACACAGGTGGTAAATGAAGACTGGCAGTCATTATCAGCATATTAGGAAGAAAGAGGAAGCAACTGGCAGGGGCTAAACGCTGTGGAAGCTGCAAGGGATTAGAGAACTGATTTTTTGAGAGGCACCCTGTACAGAGGCTAATAGACAGATAAATTACCAAATACCCTAATCAGATTATTGTTACTGAAGCTCAAACTCAGTTTCCCTCTAGCCAGTTGGCAGCACTGCTGGTGAAAAATATGCTTTGAATTTAATACTAAGGATGCTTCTCATGGAGTATGGGGCATAGTAATCCGTGGTACCCTATATTTGTAAACTACATGCAGACCATGCTAATCCAATTTTAAACAGCAGATCATAGTCTACTGCAGTCAGAATGTCTGGCACTGTGTAATACTGTACTGTATACAGCAATTCTATACTCTTTTTTTCATTTCCTGTTTAGCGCTCCAGTGGACTTTTGTCCTTTTTCTGAAATCCAACTATTCATCCGCTCATATTTTAGGATTTGGCTTCAAATGGCCATGCATATATCACCATCTTCAAGCCCTATGAAAATGCTTGTGCTCTTTTTTGAACGTGTTTCTGGAAGTGCCTAGCTTTTGTTCTAACAAAGGATCCCAGTAGCATATACATACTTAAACTCAATAATTACGATATTAAAAATAGATCTATCATCCAACATGATTAAAAAGTTTCATTTAGCATAAGCCTTCATGAGCTCTAGCCAACTTCAAATGTATCTGAAGAAGGGGGATATGGGCTATAAATGCTTATGCCAAATAACAATTTGTTGACTAATTTTTGAGATTTCACAATACATTTTTAAAATTATGCAACAGGCTAACAGTTATTTGCTTGGAAATCATCGACAGTGCTCAACTCCTTTGGTTTTACAATGAGGCTGCATCCACAACTTCCAAGCTTTGACTGATTCATTTCTTTACGCAAAATAAGTATGCTTCCCTATAGGGCAGTACTTTCCAGCAAAATTTCATTACACTTCATGTGCAATAAGTAAACAATGGGATAATTTTATGATATCAGTCTATGTTTCCTAGTTCAAAAGCACCAAGCTGTTCAGTTACACTGAGATTTAGGTATATATTTTCTGCAGAGCTGCTGCAGCAAACAAAGGCTCCACAACAGCTCTAACCATCAGAGACAGAAAATTAATTATATTTAAAATTATGTTGAAGTGTTGAATGCAACCAAGATATACAAAGGGAATTACAATATAAGCCAAAGAAGGATTTTTGCAATTGTTTGGGAACTGTGTTTCTAAGGCTCTGTGAACTGACGTGAAGGAAGAGAAGGAGAATGAACACATCCCCATCATAATTTAAGTACAAACATTCTCCCAGTACCGCTTTCCACCCCAAAATACTAAGAGGCAGAAGAAGGATGGTCATAATGTTTAGGACATTTGATGGTCGTGAACTATATATTTCCTATTTATCACGTGTGATAACTGATACAATTCTGAACATTCCTCTTTGCACATATGTTGTGTACAAAGGACAAAAGGAGATATGTTTTGATAGCAGTAAATGAAAAAGAAAATGAGTCAGTAATATAAAAACCAGCCCTCTCTATTGTAAAACTGGCTACAGTGATTATCATGTGATAGCCAATACATAATGAAAACCTCATAAGTCATGGCTATCCCAAAACGAAATCATTACATAGGAAAATAGAGACTGTAAATTCAGTTTCAGTATTTGTCATATTAGCAGTTGTTGAAAATATAGATAGAGGGGGCAGAAACATTTGTTTGTTTTTAGCACAGACTTGAAGTGTGACACATTCTTCACTGTTCTATATAATTTCAGTATTTGTTCATTCAAATGAATTGGAATGATGGCAGGGCACAAAAGATAACAAGTCTGTTACACAAAATAATGGGCTAATGAGCACATTTTTCTTAGTGTAAAACATCTTAGCATGGGTTTTAGCACAGTACAATTCCACCTACCCAAACTATGCTGGACTGAAATGATGGTTAATGGATAATAACTGAATAAGAGATGCAATAACTCTTCACATCAAGTAAAGATGAAATGAAAGTCTACTGTACCTATATTTTCCCTTTCTGAAGGAATTTATATATTTGTGGTCAGTTTGATGGCTTTGTATCCTGGTTGTACACAGAAGTTTGGATGTACGTATTTTTCCACACCACATTAGATTTCTCTTTGAAAGAAGATCAATGGTCCTAGACACTGGAGGCTGTTACTCTTTGTTTTGTTTAGAAGAGGAAAGGGTTTACAAATACATCTGTCTTTAAAAAAAATAGATGTTTTGCTACAATCTCATAGAACAGAGTTGCACATAATAGGAGGCCCACTTCTCCAGACCATGGATCCAAACAATTCCTGCAGCAGTATTTGTTCCTGCCAAGATGGGTGAACTCCAAAGGCTTTTTTTAAAAAAAAATTAAGCCAGTTGACAGAGACAGAATTTTTCCTTTCAGGGGAGTGTCAGTCTTCTATCTTTATCATTGTGTTTGGACAGCACCTGAGCTTGAAGTTGTGTTTCTGAGATACTTGCTTTGCCCTGCACAGTTCTTTGAGTATAAAAAAGAATGTAGGCCTGGGTTTTGCATACCTCCTCCACACTACATACATTCAATTTGGAGTCATTGCAGTGGACCCAAAAACCTGAAATAAAAAAAAGGGGGGGACACAGATACACAGTATATTATTGGCATGACCTTATCCCAATAAAACAGTTTTTAAGATTGTAGCATAGGAAAAAAAATCAAAAGCTTGAATCCTCTGTAAAAATTCTAAACAGAACCCAGGGCCCAAAGAACAGTACAGTAGTTCCATGTATGCAAGATAAACTGGAACAGATACTACTTGAGCAGCCATCCTATACATTAAAAAACAGACCACTTTTGAAGCAGAAGAGATTGTCAGAAGCAGGTACCACATGTTATGGTTCTGCCATTCAAATACACCAAGAGAAGGAGGGATCCCCTTGCTGACAGTGTTTTTAATAAATTGTGATTTGTTTTCCATTTTGACATTTATGGCTTGGGTTTGACAACTGGATTTGAGGGGCAAATGATCATTTGGCAAATGAAACTGCATCTAGTGAAGGATCTGGTGAATGAAATAAAAAGGCCAGAGTAACTTCTAAAATAGAAGTCTCTCAATAGGCAACCCCCATTACATTGTTCTACGTATAAGCAGTTGTCTGAATTTCAGATTCCGCATTTTATACTGTTATTCTTAATAACTAAATTACTGCACTTTTGCCTTTTTCTAGGTAAATGATTGAAATGTATTAATGCAAGAAGGTGTTTTAAGTAAGAAAGGGGTATTTTCCATTCATAGTGGATTTACCATCTAAACAAGTTACTTTTAGAAAACAGGAGTATCAGTCCACCAAAACAATAACCATGCAAGGTAGCTGTAAAGTAAAGAAAAAGAGAGCCTGACTCTTTCAGAAGACAAACAAAAAAGTAATTTCTGAAGTGCTATAAACAAAAGGAAGGAAATTGAATTTATGATTCTTAATGCTACTAGCAGATATATTACTACCAATGCACTATGAAAACTAAGCTATATATCTATAAACTGAGCTGCTATCACTGGAAAGAACAGGTTACTCACCTGTATTTGTCGTTCTCTGAGTGGTCATCTGTGAATTTACATATGTGGGTGTTTCTGCACCTGTTCTCACTGGAACATCCCAGTGCTCAAAGCAAAAAAGGCCTTTAGAGCAGGCCCCCTCTACCATACCTAGCTGTTGTTCCTCAGTTTCCCATGTCTGCTGCTATCCCTGAGTGAACAGTAGTGTGACACACTAAGGGGTGGGTGGGTGGGTACAGGTAAGTAACCTGTTTTTCATCATGGTACAGTATTTGTGAATCACACATGAGGGTGACTGATAAGCTCACTTACCAGCTCGTGGAATTATCATGCCAACACAGATGAAATGATCTACCAAACACAGCATCAAGTTTAGCTCTGAAGTCCAGCGTATAATGTCTGATGAACATAGGGTTGAGACCATGTTGCTGGTTTGCAAACACTTATTTGCAGTGACCATATACCTTTGAGAAAGGCTGTGGAAGCTGCACCAGCTGTGGTAGATATCCTTTCAAAGAATCAGGACAGGCCTCTTTGCTAGCTGTTAAGACAATATGATTGAGTTTACAAACCATTTTGATAATCATTGCGGAGTGATATGCTCATCCATCTTTGAACCTTGATAACTAACAATAATTTGTTGTATTTTTGGAAATGTTTGGTTCTGGAGATGTAGAAGGCTAAAGCTCTACAGACATCCAGTGTATGAAGGGCTTTCTGCCATCGTAGGTGATGGAAAGAAAGTTGGGAGAACAAGAGGCTGATTGAGGTGAAAGTCTGACACCACTTTAGATAGGAAGAACGTATCAGGAAAAAGAGACCTCATCCTTATGGAACTGTAAGAAAAATAGGTTATGCCAGAGAGCACAAAACTAATTTGCTGTACATGCTGAAGCAACAGCCAACAGGAAGGCTGTTTTATCAGCAAGAAGTCTCTGGTCTGCCATAGCCATCAGCTTGAAGGGCATTTCATAAACTGGTTAAGCATTAGAGAAAGTGACATAGTGGGCAGTAGAGCTCACATATCTGGAAAGACATTTCTGCAGATCGCACAATAACTTCTTGAGAGTTGGATTTCTGAAGTATTGTGATGCATTGGAACCAGAGGGATGCTTTGCTACTATGATTGACAAATAGATCTTGAGAGGAGAATGTGATAGACCATTCTCTTTCAGGTAGAGGAGAAAACAGCACGGTGTATAGTGAGGGTTGGAAGTTCCAGTTCGTTTATGTGGAAGTTTCTTTCTTGGACCACAAGGCATGTATCTGTTGGTGGTTGCAAAATGCTCCCCATCCCACCAAGCTTGCATCTATTGTCATTTGAATCTTGGCTGTGAGATATTTGAATACTCTTTGCATGGTTAAACTGGATTCCTTGGTCCACCATAAGAGTTGCTGTGCTAGTTTAGGAGTCACAACCAGCAATTTGGAATTGCTGTCTGTCAGTCCACTGAAGCAAGCCAGGTAACAGGCCTGAAGAGATCTCATTTTTAGGTGGGCATGAAAGCTTATTGTAGGTGAAATTGTAGATGTCATGAGACCCAGACGTCATTGTGCCATGAGAGCTGTGCCTCCTGCATCTGAATTGAATTGGTTTGTCAAGGCTATTATTTTGTTCTTTCTAGAGATAAGTAGGCTGTTATATTTGTGGAGCCCAACATTGCACCAATATAATGAACTTTCGGATTTGATTTTTCTAGATTCATGCAAAGACCGAGATCCACCAAGAGACGGTAAATAGGATGTCTATCTCTGCCCTGACCATGGGTTTGGCTACAATCAACCAGTCATCTATATAAAGGAACACCATAGTACCACGAAGTCTGAGGTTGGCGGTTGCTGGTACCATGCACTTTGCGAAAATCCTGGATGCTCAGAAAGATCAAAAGGGAGCTGTTTGAACTGGCAAATACTGTTGTTCAATATGAAATGTAGGAAACAGCGATGGTGCAAATGGATGGTAATGTGGAAATAAACATCTTTGAGACTGATCACAACAAACTGGTCCCTTTTTTTGAGAAGCGGTACTATTGTTTCTAATGTCACCATTCTGAACTTCTTGGTACCTATGTAACAATGTAAATCTCTCAGGTCCACAATTAGTCTCAAACTGCCATCCTTCTTGGAACTGTGACATAATGATGGCAGAACCCACTGGGTAGCATTTCTAGAGGTACAGGCTGAATGGCATCCTACTTTAGCAACACAGCTATCTCCTCCTGCAATATCTGAGATGGTGCTGCGGGTCTGAAGGGTCTTTTGGGAGAGTAGACTTTGTCTAGAGGAGCGGGGTATAAGCCTAAATAAAGTAAAGGTAACAGTGCACTAGGTGGTTAGATATGGTGCTAGTTGTGTAATGGTGTCCAGTGTGGTGGAAGTCAATGGTAAGTGGATCTTGGTATGCAAGAAGTCAAAGGTGTTGCTTGGCCTTTTTTCTTGATGTTTGGAGTTCCTTGGTTGTTTGTACTTCTGGTAGTGTGATTACAGCTTCTAGTACTGTGAGGCTGATGATAGGTTGAGGCCTTTGACATTTGGGTAAGAATTCTGATGATGAATATGGGTAGGGTTGTTTCCAATACTGTTGGTACTGTGTGTCGAAACCCATTCTTTTGGCAGTATTATTTATCTTGTGTAGGCTTCTCAGTATGTTATTGGTCTTTTCGTTGAATAGACATTTGTCAACAAGGAGAAGGTCCTCTATCCTAGAATTTGAATCCTCTGATAGACCTGCTGAATGAAGCCAGGCACAGCATATCAGGGCCGCTGCCACTGACATGTTCTTTGGGGCACAACATTTGTTCAGAGACATGGCCTCAAGTGGAAAAGTGAGAGCCAAGACTCTCTTCTTATCCAGCAGGCTGCTAATTAGTGGCTGGATTTTATGTCAGAGAAATCTCTGGTAAGTTCCCATGGACAAATAATAACAAAATATTTTTTTAAAAGGGGAAGCTCACAGAAGGTTGAAGGGGTATGAAGATGAAGATGACAAACAATGGTAAGATTTGAGGCTTAACTATGGAAAAGGCTCTAGGAACATGTTCCAAGAAGTTTCCTCAGTGGCAGCTAAAGGGAACTGAGGGACAATTGCTAGACACAGGAACATATGCAATGGAGGGGGGTATCTGTCCTTAAGCTGCAGAATGTTCTGACGAGCTTCGTGCAACACCCACATGTGTGATTCAGAGACCACTATGAAAAACGTATGTAGACTGTGTATGTGTACTAAGCTATTATTGCAGGAAACAAGTATATTTTTATAAAAATGATAGATCTACAAGATGCAATACATAAACAATTCCCCTTGTAATAAAGCACACGCACCTCCCTCTGTGTTGTAGCAATATGCCGTGTAATGTCCTGAGCCAAACCCTTTCCCATGATGCATCACCACAGCCGAGAGGTCATAGACAAAGGTCTCTTTGTCAAGAGAGGAGAGAGTGTCCCTGCAGCAGTAAGGTTCCATGTTTAATACCTGGTCAAAGAGGACATGGACCCCAATCTTCTCACGGTGATTACGTCCAGACCACCTATGACACATGGACATGCAATCAAAAGAATTTAACAAAATGGCAATGAAGTTAATGTTGCAACAAAGCTATTACAAGATCTGCAATCATTTTGACATTGTGGGCACAGATGATTAATGAAGATTTTCATTTGCATGTTCTTTCAGATTTTCTACTATATGTAGGATCTCCCTGTTGGTGGGATCAATATCTGCTGATTCACAATTCCACTGTCTAAAAGTTCTAAATCCCCCCTCTCCCATACATATACCACAGTATCTGTGGAGGATATGTATTTCCAGGTGTATTTACCATAACTGGGCACTAGAGGGAGACAGACTGCAATGTATAGTGTTTGATGTGTCTCCATTTTTTTTTTTTTTGGCTTGGCCACCATACCACCCATGGAGCCCAGACCAATCATGCTAACTCATGTGAGGTCAAGGGGGACATTCCCTATACCACTACCATTTGGGCCTCAGATATGGAGGTCCCTCAGTGAGCAGGCATGGAGATTCAGAGTCATGTTTATGGCACACATCAGGGTTTGTTTGTATTGTAGCACCTGCTGCTCCAGCCACCATCCGCTGCCATCCCCGCTGACTATCCTGCTCTCCTCCAGACCGCAGGCCGATCAGGCAGGCCCAGTAGCATGAGGCTTGTTTTCTCTACTTTTAAAAATGCTTTTAAATGCTATTCAATAAAGCATTCTATTTAATAAATCAACAAAGGTATAGACACTGCATGGTTTCCACACATATAAAGATGATCCCTTATTCCTATCACTGCAATTCACCTGAATCGTTTAAGGTGCAGCCGGAGGACCTGAGGTAGCCTGTAGATCATTAACTGTTTTTTAGCTTCGCTTAGAATAAGAGGTTTGGGAGAAGACTTCCGTCGTTTGCCTACAAAAGATTAAAGAAAAACACAAAACAGAGAGCGGTACAGTAAGCTATACTGAGAGTCTGGTTGACTTGAGAAGTAGGATAAAATAGTATAAATGAATGTCTTCATACAGCTGACATAGAAATGATTTTCATTATATGTCACGCAGAATGAAGTGACATAAAAGTTTAGTTGAATTTTCTTGCTCACTGGCTAACAGTGAGACTGAGGCCATAACCCTATACATATTTACTTAGATGGAAGTCTCATGTTCAGTGGGGCTTACTCCCATGTAACAGTATAGGGTTGCAGTCTGATGAAACCACAAAAGCAATGAAGATTGAAAAAAAGTTGTTTCAAGTTAAACTTCTATGACATACATACACATATGTACATATTTTTATATAAGGACCAGAATCCTCTTGTTCGATCCATGCTTGCATAAGGCAAATCATGCTAAGTCTTGCTGACAAATCACCACTTATTAATGGAGTGCTGGTTGTGTTCCTAAGCATGTGGCATGTGATATGAAACCAGTACCTCATTAATGAATGGAATTTGCTGCTAAGATTTAATATGCTCTTCCCTATGCTAACACAAATCAGCAAGAGGATTCTGACAGTAAAACCATACAGCATTACTACAATTCATGGAAAAAGTAGACTCTAACCATTATAGAAGGAGATTAAAGGTTAAGTTCCCTCTACATTATTATTTCCTAGTAATTTAAAATGTCTAAAACATCCACAAGAACACATACATATGCTTTGCTAGTTCAGATGAAACACTGAACCATTGTTTAAACAAGCCAAGAAGTTACCATTAAGCTGAGTGGATGAAAGGAAGGAGAATGCAGTCCTGATCCTCCAAATGATGGGTTGGAATAATAGAAACATTAGTCTTTTAATGTCTGTTTTTTTATATCTTAAAAAGATAATGTTATGTCCTCAAAGTATTTTCCTGCTACCTACTGTACTCCGATCTGATCCCACAGCAATACACCCAAAACAAGACACACTAATCACCCATCTACAGAAAAAGACAAAAGCCCATCTCACAGCCATAAATACTCCACTCCCAAGTCAACTACACCAGAGCACAGAGTGCTGTTCCTCTGAATATGCCGGCCACAGAGACTGGCGAAACGTTAGGAAGAACAACCTTCAGAACACGGCCAAAGAGCCTGAAAAATCCACAACAACCATTAACAGATCGTGATTTTTGCAAGCTGACTTGGCCAAAAGATTATATGTAGTTACGCACCCAAATCCAATGATAGCAGTCCACAAATGAAAATATGTTCAGTCATCCATGGATCATCTATAAGCAAGCAAAGGTGTTGCAGTCTCTACTAAGGGAGAAAATGCATCCTGTGTCTCCTCAGGACAGGGTGCTATTGCCTATCCTTCCCCTCCTGTTAGAGAGGGGAAGGAAAGAAACAGGATGAGGACTTTCAAGTTTAGTAGCTGTCCTTTCCAATTTAGTTCTGTAGGAACTAAAAGTGCAAATGTTACGTAGCTTTCTACTGAACTTGTGAATTGGGACAACTTGGGAGTCTGGTCATTTGAATGGTGCTCCTGTGTTGTAAACTACACAGTAAAAACTTTAAAAGCAGAAAACTGGAGGTAGCCACCTCAGTTTGAATATGCATTTCCATTTAACAATAGAAAACTCCTTCCCTTCACAGTTTTAAAGACAAAAAGAATGCATGATAATGCAGATTTCCTAAACCCTTTAATGCTACAGTAAGAAAGTATGGGGCTTCCCGTAGTGCCTGTTCACTAAATCTCCAAAATGTTCTTCCAGTTTCTATTAGTGTTCTGAAGCAAACAAAATAGAAAACCCCAATCTTTGTGGCAAAGGAAACAAAACATTAGAAGAACACGTAACTGCACCTGTTCCCAAACAAAGATTACTGAGCAATCAGCATTTAGCAGTTGGGGGGATGCATTCTCCAGCATTATTATCTTGCTTGGTTATAGGACAGAAATGTAACTGATTAACTTTACCCACATTTCTGCAACTGAATAAAAGGGGGAAAAACAGGGAATAGAATTCCAGTCTGCCTGTTTAAAGTATATTCAAATAGAATATTTAAAGATGGCAGAACAGTGTTAATTTCTCCAGATCCATTATGGCTTTCCTAGAATACACCTCTCTGTTTTTAAAACATAAAGCATTGTGAAAGAAAGGTTATTTCCTTAAAAAGAAGTCAAATCCTGCCTTGTCTATTTCTTACTATTCCAGCGTCTATAATGTATCTAACCTAAGAGGACTCATCTGTCTCAATAATCTGGCAGAAAAATTATAGATTGTTTCCTTTTATTTTCCTTGTTTTAAGTAGTGAGAGGCACACAGAGAAAAGGCTGTGTTTATTTTTAGTAGAGGAAAAGTACTAAAGCTATCAAACAAGCTGAATCATTTCTAAATGGGATTAAATTCTTTACTGCTGAGGTGGAGTCAACTGTGGCCATCCCAGTTTTCTTTCTTTCTCTTTTGAACTGCAGTTCCAATAAACCCATATCAAGGGCTAAACTGGTGATCGTTGAAAGGAGCTGCACACCAATAACATTTGGGTGACTAAAACTGTCCTTAGGTTTTCATGTCTGCGGGTCTATATGAACAAATTTAACTATTTTCTCTTCTGGATGGTTACATGGAGATTAAAAAGTTATAAAAGGAATTCCTATGTTGTCATATAGTCCACACATACATTTCTTTCTGGGTACAGTGTAGCATTATATCTGCAAATGACATAACATAACTTACTGTTGCACTGGTCACATGCATAAATCCTCCCTTCCAAAGCTTCTGTTTCCGTGAATTTTGCCAACATTTCAGTCAGCATGCACTCGGTCTGATTAACTGGCAGAATCCCTTTGTTGATGGAGTGGTAGCGTTCAGGAAATTCCAAGGAAAGATCCCAGAAGGGTTCCACAGTATTGGATTTATGGTTACACGTTATACAGGTGACCTGGCAGAAGAAAAAAATATTTAGTAAAACATATCTTTAGGAACATTTCTCGTGAGACATTTTGAGGACGGTGGCAACCAAGATGGTGTGGCTTGTTCTGAGCTATAACTGACCCAAATCTGCAACCATCTGTAAAACAGAGACTGGCTTTGAAATTCTCTTATGAGGAGAGAGGTGCATCTTCAAAAGAATTTCTACTAAGTGATTTTATTTCTTATAATCTTCTATTTTTTATTTCTTAAGTCTTGTAATACAAGATTGGATTTAGCCCTACTGAAATCTTTGGTAAGTGTGCAAGTTACTTGATCAAATTAAAATATCTCACACCAAAAATATAAGTTCAATGAATCAAATTTAAGTTATAAAAATATAAGTTCAATGAATCAGATATAATTTTGCCAATTTGATTAAATGAGGGGTGTCTGTATCATAATTTTAAAGGACTCTTAAGATTCTGTTTAATTTTTATAGAATTTTATAATTACAATAAGTTGTAGAGTCCATTATTCATCTTATTTGTCTAAGGAAGGGCACTTCATACTGCATAATGTCAAAATGGTGTTATAGAAAAAACATCCCATAAGAGCTATATAGTGAGGCCTCTGAAATAAGGGAACAGAATTGTGGTGCTTAAAACATGAACTCTCACTCATTCTGCTAAAGTCTTTGATGCAATATTATTGCAAGCTTAGATATAATAATAGTTGTGCACCATCAAGTTGATTCTGACATAGCAACCCTTCTCAGGGATGTCTACATATAAAGTACTCAGAAGTAGTTTAACAATTTCTTCTTGAACTGTGTAGATTACTTAAGGTTATTCAGGCTGGCTCTGTATAAAACTGTGTAAGTCTGTATAAATATATTGGAGTGCATAACAGGATGAGAGATTAAAAAGCACTGGTGTACTTATTGGGCTTTGCCTGCCAAAAAACAAAGCAAAACTCTTTTATTAACTAAAAGATAGTTAGATATTCCCAGTCATATTCAGGATAATCAGAATAATCATATTACTGATAGTATAATTTTTAAGCAAAAGCAACAATAACACCAACACCTATATAACAAAGGCTGGAGAGAGGGCGATGCTGACTTGCCAACCAGCAGAAAGATTTAAAATAATCTTCCCAGCTTCCCCAAAATTATTCCGCTAACTTCAAAAGTTATCTTAGTGTAAAATGAAAATAGGAGAAATGGCAGTTGTGCCACAAAGTTTTTTTTTTTCTTAAATGTCCCTTGGGAAAATGTTTTTGAAAATACCAGTCTTAACCTAAAAAACAATGACAAATCTTTTTGCAAACCACCCATTAAAATTTACTTTAAAAACACTGCCACTGGAATTCTCCACCCTGGGCAAAAGAAATATTGAGTAAATGCATACCTGACTGAGTAGCTGCCCATGAAAAATGGTGTTCACCACCTTCAGAACCTGCTTGGTGAGCTGCCTCTGTGAAAAAGGAATGAGGATCCTGCGTTTTGTTCCTTCTGATTCCAGCTCCTGTTGCACTTTGTCCAACAATTCACAGAGAAATTCCTGAGCATCTTGCTGGTCGTAACCTCGAAACGCTGGAATCAGACTCCACACAGAATGCAGCATAGCAAAAGGAGATACTGAAGCCCACTTCCCAGACCACATGACTCTGAAAAGTGTGTGCAGTTCATGACAAAGAGAGATGTGCTTTGAATTTGGCTCCTTGGGCTGTATTAGTTCTAAACTTTTGCTTATTGAGGACCCGCCATTTAAGCCAGCTGGCAGGCTCTGCCTGCCATGTGAACCCAGCTGATCATTCCTCCCTGACTCAGTAGGAGCAGGCCCACTGATCAGCTTTCCAGACATTCTAGACTTTCCATTCACAGTCTTAGCTAACAGTTCTTCAGTTTCACAAAGATCCAGCGTCAAGAAACATTCTCTAAACTTCTGGAGGTGGCTTAATACTTGGAGGATGGAATTCATGTAGCATGTATTTCCTAGATTCTTTAGTCCAGTCACACCAGGAGTCATGAGAGGCTTTCGCCGGATGGAATAGAACTGTTTGAACTTGCTATTTTGCACCCGTCTTGAGGTAGGGGAACTTCCTTCCATATCTCTGAACTTTCGAGGAATTAGATTCTCTCTGCGAATGTGTGACAAAAGTCTGGCACTTTTTCTTGGAGGAGTGTTTGCCAACTCCTCCAACAATCTCCGCTTCATCTCTTGTCGCCGTTGCCTGGCCACTTCTTTCTTTTTTTCCAGTTCTTCCATTTGCTTCTTTTGTTCTATTTTTCTCTGGCCTCTTGAACTCTTATCAAACCAGGTCCGCAATGCCTTTGCAAGCAATGACTGCCTTCTATACCAGAGAGCTGTAAGCATCTGAGGCTGTCCCTGAGGGGTCCTCTGATGGTTGCAAACATCATCCCCCAAAGCCATTGACCGCAGCGTCCTCCCACTTCTAGCTGTTGGATCATGCTTCTGACTTTTAATTGCAGACAAAGAACTTCTTAGTAATTTCAAGTCACCTTCGGGATTATCATTCAATACATAATCTTCACAAAGGTAACAAAACACATAGAGATCATTTACTTCCATAGCCAAAGGGTGCCTGGTTTCTTCAAAGTGTTTAAGTGCATGGTCCTCAATGTATCTCCCACAGGCCACATGAGAACATTTTAGGCAAGCCCAAATTGATTCTGTGGTGTTGCAGTCCATGCAGTGCCACTTCTGGGGGTTCAGAATAGAATGGTCCTGGGCAAGTCGTAGCCGCCCAACATGTTTGCATCTATCCATGTCTTACATAAAGCTCCACTGCTTTAACCTTAAAAAAACAAGAAATACCTCAATTACTACATATTCAAGACCTCAGTCATAATGGTAGTCTAGATACCCCTCAAATTAATAGGTTTTTCTGCAATGTGTCTGTCGCGTCCACTCAGTGTCCCTTGTTCGTTCTCCCTAAACACTCAAGTCCACCCTCTGGATGCATTTACTCTTTTTACGCTGCCACCAGTGGATCTAGTCCACACTATACCAAATATATGTAACTCAGACGCGGGCTGCCAATACAACAGGATTATTGATCTTTTAGTTGGTAAAATCACAGATGTAAACCACAGATGGTTACTGTTTAAGATCTCTCATCAAAGTACCGTGTTTCTCCGATAATAAGACCTATCCCGAAAGGAAGCCCTCCCCTTAATTTGTAGGATTCCTCTAAAGTAAGCCCTCCCCCGAAAATAAGCCCTATTACCCTACTCGCGCCCTGGGTAAGCTTACCGAGGGCGCGAAAAAACATCCCTTCAGCAGAGCAGAATGCAGTAGGGAGAAAGCAGAGCTTCGCCCTTCATGGCAGTGCTTTCGTCTCAGGGCGCGCCGAACGGGATCCCGGGAGCCAACAGCTGCGCGAGCTCCTGAAGGCTTTTATTACAGCCAGCTCTAGATGGTTCATGTGGAGGGAGGTTTCTTGAGCTGACCACAGAGCATGGATCCGATGTTTTCCACAGTGAGCTCCCCAGCCTATCAGGCTTGCATCCGTGGTGACCTGGCATGGTAGCTGCAAAGGTCAAAACGGCCTTCCCAGCAAGAGATGTGGTAGAAACGTCCACCATCGTAACTGCTGTGAAAGTTCTGGAATGACGAGTAAATGTTTGTGCTGACTGTCCTGAAGGGGATTGAAGAGGGCAAGCAGCCATGACTGTAGGGAACGCATCTTCAGACGGGCATGGGACACTGCACATGTTGTTGAGGCCATCAGTTCTAACAGATGTTGAGTGTGTCTTGCTGAGACTTTCGCATGCGGCTGGAACCTGCGAATTGCTCTTTTTATTTTCTTGCTCCGGTGGCAAGAACATGCGAGCTTCTATGGAGTTGAGTCTTGCCCCTATGTAGTCCACCACTTGAGATGGTTTCAAGTGGGACTTTTTGTAGTTGACTGAGAGTCCTAGGGACTTCAAGGTGTTGAGAACCAGTTTGGTATCCCTTAGTGCTCTTTTCCTGGACAGGGAGACGATCAACCAATCGTCTATGTATGGATAGACCTGTATCCCCTGAAGGCGTATATGAGCTGCCACAGGGGCCATACATTTGGTGAATGTCCTTGGAGCTGTTGACAGGCTGAAGGGAAGAGCGACATGCTGATAAATGGTGTTTTGGAAAATTAGACGGAGGTACTTTCTGTGGTTTGGATGAATGGTGATGTGGAAGTAGGCATCTTTCAGATCCACCACAACAAACCAGTCTCCTTTCTTTAGCAGGTGAATGATGGACTCCAGGGTGACCATCCAAAAGTGCTGTGGATGAAAGTAAGTGTTTAAATCTCTCAGATCTAGAATGGGCCTTATCCCTCCGTCCTTTTTGGGTACCGCAAAGTAACGGGAGTAAAAACTCCTTGCAATGTCCCGGTTTGGTACCTTTTGAATGGCCTGTTTTCGAAGCAGGTAAGAATCTCTTCTTCTAGAACAGGATCAAACGATGTAAGCTTGACCTGTCCTAGAGGAGGCAATTCTGTAAATTCCAGATGGTAACCGGAGTGTATAATGTTTAAGACCCAGTAGTCTTTTGTTATGGTTAACCAATTTTGCAGATATGGAGACAGGCGAGTTGTGTGGGCACTTCCGATGGTGTTTTGATTAAGTCAAAGGTACTATTTTGCTTTCCCCCCCCGTAGGCTTATAGGATTATCTTCGTTGACTGGATTGCGGTCTGAGAGTGGAAGCAGAAGAAGAGGCTTGAGATAATCGAACTTGACCTTGGTTTCTGAAAGGACGGTAAGACTGGGATGTTGGTTGCTGGTATATGTGCTGTGGATACTTAGAGCACCATTGGAACTTACTATATCTGGGTTGTTGTTGGATGGAATAGGATTTAGCTGTCTTTTTGCTTTTGTGAAGGTTCTCCAAGTTATCATCTGTCTTGTCGTTGAAGAGACCTGAAGCAACGAATGGTAAGTTTTCAATCCAGGTTTTAATGTCATCCATAATATTTGCAGATCTAAGCCAAGCATGCCTTCTCAGAGTAATGATTGGGGCAAGATTCTTGGCTGTGGCATCAGCTACATGGCGAGATGCTAGCCTTTGGTGTTTTGATAGAGTAAGGGCCTCAGCATGTGTGTTCGTACAAAGTTGTCTGATGTCCTCAGGAGCAACTTCTAAGGCTGGTAGTATTCAGGACCATAATTGCCTTTGATAGGCTCCCATAGCCATGAAATAGTTAATGACTCACAATACAAAAGTGGTTAGGGAGTACATACGCCAACCAAGGACCTCCAACTTCCTGCCTTCTCTGTTGGTGGGAGTGACATGGCCCTTCGCAGGTGATTTAGAGGCACTAGATTCCACCACCAAGGAATTTGATACAGGATGCTTGATTAAGAAAGTGGTATCAGGTCCATGGATGCGGTACAGATTTTCTGTTCTACGGGATACTGGTGTAGAATTTGCTGGCTGGACCCAATATTCTTTAATGAGGTCCAGTAAGGCAGGTATGTAGGCTAACCTCAATGGTGGGGATCTCTCCTGATTGATATCTCCAAAAATGAGATCCTCAGTCTGGGGAGGTGATTGTTCAGTGTCCATCTTAAGAGTCTGAGCCATGCGGGAGACCATCTGGACGTAGGACGAAAAATTCTCAGATGGAGATGAAGGATGAGTGTCCGCTGCATCAGACTCAAGGGGTTCCCCTGCCACAGGTGTCTCCAGGGAAGCTTCAGACATCATATCATCCTCTTGTTCAGAGAGGCCTGAGGAAATAAGTTGCTCCTGCTCAGAAGTCGAATGCCTCTTGGCAGGATGTCCAGAGTCCTTTTGAGATGATTGTCCCTGGGCAGAAACTGCGCCTTTGGAGGTTGTTAGTGATTTGTCATGATGAGAGATCGCAGTCTCCTCCATATGGTTTTGCTTCGAAGACTTGTGACTCTCAACATCGATGTGATCTCGACGTCGATGCTTGCGAGGAGGAGAGACTGATGGCGAGGACGAGGAATAGTTGTAATGCCTTCTTTTCCTTCACCTCCTGTAACCCTCCAACATTGAAGAGGAGTCTGATGTATAATCCCATCTTCGACGTCGATGCCGAGATTTCCTTCGGTCCTCACTATAATCTCAGTCAGAAAGAGATTCATCTCTTCGGCGTTGACATTTCCTCCTCCTCTCCACGTTGGAGTCCAAGCTACTCCACCTGTGTTTATGCCAGTGGTGAGATTTTCTAGGCAAAACGACCACCTCCTGCTCTGAATGTGGACGTCGAGGAGGAGACAGGTTCTTGGCCTTGGCTGGTCTCTTACGGGGTGGAGAATTCAAAGCCAAAGACCTCGACGCCAAGGAAGGAGAATATGATGCCCGCCCGGTAAAAACAGGGCTGTGTTGGTCCAAAGCCGAACTAGCAACAGTCTGGCCTAGTTGGCTCATGGAAGGCGATTGTCCGGCATCGATAGGTAGTGATTCTTGTTGTCGGGGTGGTAATAAAGTCCCCGTTTCAGAAAACGATTCTCGGTCCCAAGAAGAATCTTCTAAAATAGACAAAGGCACAGATGCTGAAATTGGTGGGACTAAAAGGGTATGCTCCTTAGACTTTCCCTTGGTCTTAGTTGTTTTATCTTTTTGTTTTAGATCAGTGGCCGCACTGGAGGCAGAAGAAATGGTACGTGGCTTCTTAGCAGGAGTTTTTTTCTTGTGTTTGTCCACAGTCTTAGTAGTTTGAAGGGGTGGTGGTGAGGCAACCCAAACTTCAGAACGTACAGTAGATGTAGTTGGGGTAGACTCCATTTCAGAAGGTTGAGAGTCAGGGAGTGTCTGGTTCCAAAGAAAATATTTCTGTCGTTGTTGACAGGCTTTGGTAAATCCTTTGCAGTGCCTACAGAGATGGGGCTGATGGTTTTCTCTCAGGCAAAAAACACAAAGACTGGCTGTTAAAAAAAGGTAGCTTTCAGGAACCAGCAGTACAGCGGCTGAATGGTCCTGAACGGGACATAAGCCGGCAATTACTGGGAGGAAGTCCGATAATGAGGTGCTAAAAGGATTAGGAAGATGGCGCGTGGCGCCACAGCGGGCAGTCTAACAGGTGGGAAAAGACAATCAACAAGTACTTGCAGGGATTAGCCAGTAGAGAAGTTGTTCAGTCCGCTGTCAGGGCAACAGGGAAGCGGAAATTTGACGAACAAGCCGGGTCAAATACGAAAATAGCCAAAATAAGAACGCGAAAAAGAGAGCTCTAGTCGAGAGGTTCCAACTCCGCTGGCAGAAAAAATGGAACTGGGAGCTGAGGCGGGCGGAGCATGCGCTGTAGAGGGCAACCTAAACTTTGTTACTTTTTCCTAAAGCTCTAGAAGATTCTGAGAGGACCAGCACAGGTGCTGTTTTACCCATTTGAGTGCATTCACGGAGGCCACACTGAAGAACCAGAAATTTTAAACAAATTGAAAAGCTCTAAGTATCGCAAAGGAGTCAGATTGCAGCGGCGGCAAAAAAGAACTGAGGTAACCACGGGCGGGCGGGGCATGTGCACAACGTGGAACGTTCTATTGGTCAGTTATTTAAGCTCTAGAATATTCCGAAGAGTCCTGCGGAGGCGCAGTTTAACCCATTTGTGTGCATTCACAGAGACCATGAAGAATCCATGTTTGGGCAACATTAGTCACATATGGCTTTCAGCAGGTATCCTCTACAGTACCCCTGCTACCTCTTCAAAGTTAATACACCTTTTCCACTGTAACTATTTTCCTTTGGGACTTAAAACTGACTTTTTACAACTCTAGTCTACTAAAATATACAAGAGATGTAACAGCTTATTCTTTTAAAATAATTTTCTTGAGAGAAACTATGGAATGTATTAGGTTAGAGTAGCAAAAGATAGTTCAGTTTCCCATGGTTTCTGGACCATTAGAGAAACCATTTCTTTCCTAGCAAAGTGAGGAAAACCTTTCCTGTCCTGAGAGGGAAGGTTTAGTATCTCCCTCTAGAGGAGAATAAGTGGGGATGAATATATGTGTGTGTGAATCTATGTATGAGAATAGATGTGTGTGGGTATGCATAATGTGTGCGTCAGACACAGTGTGTGGGTATCTCTCTCTCTCTCTCTCTCTCTCTGTGTGTGTGTGTGTGTAAGACCTGCAACTCATCTCCTGGTAGCTCTAGCCAGATCCACTGTTCAAATATAGTCCCCTCCCAACTGCCATCCATCACCAGATGACTGTGAAAAGATTTTTCACACTTGATACATAACCTTCATGATCATACAGGGTGCTTTCCTCTACAATAACAAACAATAACAAAGCTCTATTGTTCAGTATGCATTCTGGCATGCACGGAAGAAAGTACAGCATAAAGAACAAGTTTAAAATGGAACTAAATACTCACCGATTCATACTTAAATATTCTCGCAACTCAATGATCAGAGTCTGGAACATCCCCATTTCAGTCAATTGGAGCTTAACCATTCTTCTGGAATTTAATCATAACTTATGTCTTCATTAGAAAAAAGGCCCTAGAAAGAAAACAGTCCTCTGAAACATACATAAACAAGGCCCAGGCTGTGCAGCTTTACAATATAAATCATTTTACTGCAAGAACCACTGCAGAGAAAATATTTTTAACGATGGACAAAAACTAACTAGAAGCCGTAGTAGTAACACAGCCACTGATTAATAAAATTCACATGCAAAAAGACACTCTGGATCTTCGTTTCACAGTTCCTACTTTATAAACCAATCTGCTAGTCATATAGAGTTCATTAATTCTATAAATCGTAATAAATTACCAATGATATTGTAAATAAAATCTAAAGATACCACCCCATCAATAAATATGCTTGATTATTTTGATCTGAAAGACAAGAAGAAATAAAATAGCTTTTTGTGGAAAAATTCTACAATTAATTATTTTTGTTTGTATGTGATTTTTAGAACATATATTTTGCACATATAAAGCAACTATTATATAGATTACCACAGACAGAGAGAGAGAGAGAGAGAGAGAGAGATTAAATGGGAGGAGAAAGGACTAAGTTTATGATGGACCATTTCCAAGGGATAAACAACTTGTCTGAATGGAGTAAAAACCATTCACAACGACAGAAAAATGCACAGTTTCATAGTCCCTCTGCAAAACACATTGTTACAAATGTGCCATATGGTAGTTGCAAATGATAAAGCATCTACATATACCAAAAATATTTGTGAGTATAGAATAAATCAGTCCTTACATTGTTTTGTGGTCACAACTAATATTATCTTTTCCCCTCTAAAATCCTCCCCCCCCCCGGCAGCATTTCAAGTTATTCTGACATTTAGACCCATGGGGAATATCTCTATTTGCATGTCATTGGCCTCCCACTATGCTGATTTCAATAGGTATGACATCACTGAGACAGGGTTAGCCAGGGATGCCAGCTATGAGCACTTTTCATGAATTTTAACAAAGAAGTCACATGGGATCTTGGGGTAGTGGAAGAAGAGGGAAACTAATAAGGAAGTCCCAAGAAATATCATTTGGGAGAGGAGGAAGTGTATTGTTATTCCCTGATCAGTTTTTAGTAGAAATATGAGCCATACAAGAGGCATGACCTGGGTCTGTTGTCGGAACTTACTGGAGAACCAGGAATCTGCTAAGAAGCATGAATACAGTCCATAAAGCCTGTGTCTTAACCACATTGTCACAATTCCAACTGAAACAAAATCTAAGTATGTATTTCTCTCATACCTCTTTCCATTTGTTATTCCTTGCTCCTACCAACAACCATCCCATTTCACTTTCTTCTCTACTGGTAAAATTTAAATTGCTATTTCCTCACAACAAAGGTGTGTCTTTTTTTAAAAAAATGTATCTTGCCACGTGAAATGCCATACATAGTGCTGAATTTTTTAAAAAAATAATCTTATGGATTCTTTTGAATAAAAACTAACAAGTTTTACTCAACGTGAATGTTCAAGGATTGCAACCCTATGTCAGATAAAACAGGACGCTTTATTGGTTTTCATGCAGCAGGCCATTCATTTAATTTTATTTTATTTAAAATATTTTTACCCTGTCTTTCTCCTTAAAAGCGGGTCTTAACATAGTTTTATACCACTGATTCCAGGACAGCCACACTCATTGCACATACCGTATAACTTAACAGAGGTAAAGGTTCCCCTTCACATTTAGTTCAGTCGTGTCCGACTCTAGGGGGCGGTGTTCATCCCCATAAAACCAGCGTTTGTCCGTAGACAGTTTCCGGAACACTGTTACCTTCCCACCGTGGTGGTACCTATTTATCTACTCGCATTTACATGCTTTGGAACTGCTAGGTTGGCAGGACCTGGGATAAGTGACGGGACCTCAGTCTGTTGCATGGATTCAATCTTACGGCTGCTGGTCTTCTGACCTTGCAGCCCAGAGGCTTCTGCGGTTTAACCCGCAGCGCCACCACGTCCTACTTAACAGTGGTACTTTTCTGCAAAGGTACACAATATACAGTGATGGCACTATATGAATAATTCCAGTACATAATAGCAAGCCTACCATCAAGCAAATCAGTTGAACCTGAATATTAAGATTCACTATTCTAAGTGATGCAGAATGCTTTTTAACACTGAGATTAAAAGTAAAACAGCACACACAACTTGATCCTACATAAGTAAAGGTGATGATAATGATGAGCAACGAGTAACAACAATGCAAGAATTGCTTCTGAAAGCCAGGTAACAGTAGCAGAAATGAGTTTGGTTGTGGTGGGTTTTTCGGGCTCTTTGGCCGTGTTCTGAAGGTTGAAATGAGTTTACTCTGGAAATAGATAATGAATAGTCTCTCATTCATGAGATTGTCATAAATTGGAGGTGTCTTGAAGGTATGAAACAACAACAATGCAATGAGTTACTCTGGAGAAGTAGTTTTTAACAGAACATAGACATTAGTTTGCTTCAGCACATAGAGCAGAAATAAAAGGATAGTAGCAAACATGATTGTAATCAACAAAAGCACACACTGAAATTATTCAGCTAGACTTATAATGCCACCACCATTTTGCTTTGAGAAGTAATGTTCTAGGTTCTGCAACAGTTGATGTAACCATCTCAGCTTAATGTTGGTGTCCACATTTTCTTACCTTACAGAAAATAAGTGTGTGTGTGTGTGTGTGTGTGTGTTTGTTTTAAAGACCTTCCTTGTAATACGGTCTCTCTGTGTGTTTGTGTGTGTGTATGTTAGATATCTATCTGCAGATACAAGGAACAGAATATCCCCCTTAAAGAGATCAGTATCTTCCTCTTTATCAATAATCTTCATCTCCATATTTGAACTGTCTTGATGCTTTCAACTAAATCACATACAAGAGAGCAGAATTGGTGAAAACTGATGATTACTTTCCTCCCTTTAGTAGAGTATATATAATAAAGTGTGTCTAAAGAAGAGTCACAAGCTAGTTTTGAATATACATCACATGAGGAATAGCAGCACTGTCCTATTCTTACATATTAAAAGCCTCTGGCAACATGCAGAAAGATCAGAGTTGCATGATAATTGGAATGAGGGAAGGAATTTGAGCCATTCAACTGAGCAGTAGTTAAACTACTGAATGCTCAAAGAAATATTATTAAGTAATTAGCTTATAATATTTTGCAAAACAAAGGTGATCCTAGATATAACTGAACATAAGTATAAAATCATTACATTGATCAAACTCTTGAAGATTATTTCTATACACCTGATTCATTAATACCATTTTCAAGTAGTATGCAGGACAAACATACAGACATCTCTGTGGTCTCCTCTTGTTTCAGATACAATCACTGAAAGGGTTATTTCCACATTACATGGAGCAAATCTATGTTTGTAACCCACCATAAGTACTTATACAGGGAGATGGGCAGTCATTCCTGTCTGCTGGCACATGAGCACCTGTATTTCAGACATGGAATTTGTGGGAAATGATCCTCAGTAAGCTGAAAGGAACTTTAACCCAGAGGCTGAAATCCTATTCATTTCGGTGTAAAGTTACTCTTGAAGTATACTGGACATTACACCCAAGTAGCTAGCACTGTTCAATTTGCTACAGCAACAGTGGTGTGTTTTGTGCCTCTGCATCCTCCTCCTGTTCTCACTGGGGAAAGAGAACAGGAACAACAGCAGCAACAGCAGCTGCCTCCGCTGGTCACAACACCAACACAAACCACTACTTCCTGTTCACAAACAAGCAAGCAAGCAGGCAGTAAAGAAGGCAGATATTGTGTGAGGGCTGAAAAAGAGCACCTAAGTTTATGCAGCCCAGGCAACTGACTGGAGCAGTTGTAACATCTTGAGGGGTTATCTTTGACTCTGATGCTTACTCCTTAAGATTCTCTTTGCCACTCGTACTTTCTCAAGATTTAGCTCCAGTGAAAGAACAGCCAGTGGCAACTCCTTTGACTGCTACTCCTTTCCGTATCAATGTTGCCTTGTGCATGGTCAACTAGACTTAGAAAGAGTGGCCAGCTACTCCCCCTGCAAGCCAATACCATATTTTTCGCACCATAAGACGCACATTTTCCCCACAAAACAGGGTGGTGGAATGTCTGTGCGTCTTATGGAGCGAAGAAAACAGATTATATTTTCCTGTTTTCTTCTAAAAAATTAGTGCGTCTTATGGAAAGGTGCGTCTTATGGAGCGAAAAATACGGTATGTATGCGGAAGTCCTTACTGAATAGTACTTCCATTCTCCTGTGATTTTCCCCAGTATTTCCAAAGCTTCACAATAGGATTTCAGCCATTAGGTTAAAGAATCAGTGTGACTCTAATAGTTAAAGGTTATAATGCAACAGATGACTGAATCAATCAATGTAACTGTCATTCAACTTTATGCTTTAATTACAGATACTGAAGAAGAAGCCTAAAGCTTTCATGAAAGTATCTAGGAGGAAAATGATTATGTCAAAACAAAGTGTCGATAATCATAGAGAAATGCAGGAGTAGGATACAAAGCAGAAGCAAACACTGTTGAAAAATTTGGCCTATGCACCATAAATAAAGCAGGAAACTGACTCATAAAATTCTGTAACCCAACAATTTGTTTATCATAAATACTTGCTTCTTGCAACTAGAGAATAATCCACATGGACTTCACCAGATGGCCATTACAAAAACAGGCTGCATAAATGGAAGCAGAAAATGGAGAAACTCTATTCTCTCTGTCAAAACAAGATCAAGAGCAGACTGTAGTACTGATCATTAACTGATCAAATCAAAAATTAAAGTAAAGCTGAAAAAGAAACTAAAGCACTCGTTGTGACAAAATATAATTTAAATAATATTTATGATGAATTAAAAGTCAATATAAAGAAGAGATTGGTATTACTAAACTCAAGTTGACTGTGCAGCAAAAAATTGAAACCACTGGCTGAAATCCTGTTGCCTAGCGTAGTCAATAGCACTAGAGGAGGCCCGCTGAATCAGTGAGGATTTTACAAGTTAACATGCCTATAAGTTCCACTGCTTCAAATGGGCCTAGTGCAGATGCAACTTATTAATGTACA